CACTGAAGGTCATTATCTTGTTTCTGTTGTCACTGTGTTTCTCCTTCCAGCATCTTCAGTAAGTCTTCAAATCAATAAGAAAAACAATAACTGAAAACTGAACAAATGTAATAAACTAGGACCTTAAAAATGACATTTCTGAAAAGACAGTCCATTCACAAGAGATCAGAGAAATAGAACTTAAGTTAGACACTTCAATTTAATAAATTGAGACAAATGGCAACTGGTAAAAACCCGGGCAAAGAAAACACAACTCAATTGATATGAATGGAAGCTGCATGCCTAGAGTGGGCAGATTTACCACTACACTACTGTCTTCCTTACCTATGAGATCCCTTATAACCTGCGGTTTCTCCGGACCAAGTGCTTCTTTCTACTCCACTCTGCTGCCACCTTCCTTCTTCTTCTCCTCCTTCTCCTCCTCCTCCTCCCTCCTCCTCTTCCTCCCCCCCATACTCCTCCTCTTCCCCCCCTCCTCTCCTCCTCTGTCCTTTCTTCTCTCCTCTAGCATTTATTTTACAAATTAAGGTGGGGAGAAGGTTTACTAGAAGTCACCTGAGTACAGCCTTGTTCACAGCCCCTCCCAGGAGAGCAGAATTAGCATCAAAGTACAACCCAGGGCTATCCACCACAGATGCAAGTCTTCCTCTTGGTCATAAGTTTAGTGATCATTGATAAACAGTGACAGAATAGAGTTATGTTTTACAATCATTTCCCCACATCAACCCCATAACCCAATATTTAAAAATCTTGTGGTTTCAAGGGCACTAGACAGAAAGAAAATCTCCAAGCCTGTCTGGGTAGATTGTCATATCCTGAGCAGCATATTATTAACTCTTAATGGTCAGAGTGCCAATTGTCATTAGGCCCAAGAAAAATCTTCAGTCCAAAATTACTGCCATTATTACTCAATTTCTGCCATAACACCATGTTTATATTTTGTATCTTTGTAGAATTTATTTATATGTCTAATTTTACTATACTTTTGTTTCTTGGTCATACACTACCAGTGTCCCTGCACTGTGAAAGTTAACTTTTCTAAGAAAGGGAAGTCTTAAGACATTCTTAGGTAATTTTTCCATACCATTCTTTGTCCATCAGTATAAGCTGCTGTGTAGGGCAGAGATAAGTCCAGAGATAAGGGCAGTCTAACTTTGTTGCTGTATCTTTCCCTCAAGGGGCATACCATATGTAGCCCCCAATCTTATATGCTCTGTAAGTAGTAGGAAGAGGCTTTTAACCCGATCTGCTGCCAACTCCCCTACCCCACCATATCTTATTTACCTCTTTAAGTTTACCTTGTTCTAATTATCTTGTTCCTGAGTAAGTACACGGGCAGATGTTCCAAGAACGTCTTGAAGCCAGAACCTCATAAGGAGATCTCTGGCCTCCCTATGTGAGTCACAACCTCCAGGGTACAAGGAAGACCTTCAAGTAGGGCCAGATAAGGATATCTCCCCTAAAAGCAGGAAGGGGTAGTATGTTCAGGAAATTTCTGGGAAAGCTTAGAAGCAGAACTCCTAGGAGAGGGCATAAATGATTCATAAGAAAATTTCCCACCAATCTAGGATCCCCAAACTGTACAAATATCAAAAGCTCCCCAAAGCATGCAACATGTGAAGATCAAGACCAAAAATGAAAGACAGCACAACAGCGATTGCATCATGCAGCTCAGCTTTGCTGGGTCTTCATCAAGCCGCGGTGCTGGCTTTATGACTTTCACTGTTCCCATTGGATATGGTTGTGCCACTAACTTGCTTAATATCTTTGGAGAATACTTTTTTGAATGTCTTGGTGGCTTGACATGTGAAGAAGCCCGGTCTGGACTAAGAAGGCTACACAGAGGAGCAGTATAGGGCTACACTGGAATTACAACTAGGAATGTTTTTCAACACCAATTTTAATCTTAAAAGTTACGATTTCCCATAAACCGTGTCCACCTTCATAGATGACACAGCGAAGTTTGAACTCAGAATGCGTGCAGAAATCCTAGGCAGCATCCTGAAGCTTTTAAGAAATGGAAATGAGGCAATAGGTCCCTTACATTAATGCTCCATCCTTCAATACAATATTGAAAATAAACTAGAATGAATTAATTCTGAAGATACTATAAAAGCAATCAGCGAAAGCTGACTAAATCTAAAATAGACTTTTAAAAAAAGACAAGCTATTATGTTTAACATTGATAATAGAAAATTACAAAGGGGCCAGAAAATTTCTCCAAAAGTCCACATGTAGAAAACAGAGTGAAAGAATAAACATTAGCCTTTAGGAAATTACTGCATTCACGGCCTTCAGGTCTTAAAATGTCACTGGCACTAAAATTCACTTTTAATCCAAATCCTGAAGAAACCCAGAGGGGTGTTTTGAAACATATATACATAGTAAGTATACATTTTTGTATGTTTTGGTAATAAAATGCTTGTATGTTTTGGTAATAAAATAGAAATAAAAAATTTATACTTTCATTAAATAAGATATTCATAACTCTTTCCTACCACTAATGCTAAAAAAAAGGATATCAGCAAAACAGATACAGAATTATGAACAACTGCTGGCAATTTAAGAAGAGAGCCTTAGTCTTTTTCCATCCACACAGCGATTTATGTAATGTTCAATGCACAAAAGATACTTTGGTGATATAAGCAGGACACTATTAATGAAAATTGTTTTTATCTTTACAAGAACCTCAAAGGAGTTCGTAAACTTGTTAAAGGGACATTGAATGAAAATTGACTTTTACTTCCATTACAAGCACCTTTTAAATACAATAAAGCAACTCATAAACATTGTGATAGTAATTTAGCTTTACTGAAATTAAGCATCTCATACACATACACACACAGATTGACTCCAATCTAAATAATTGTAATTTAACTTACAAAAACTGAAAAAAAAAAAGATAGGAGCTGGAAATACAACTTAGTTGATTGTACAATTGTTTGGAATTCATTGAAATACTGGGTTCAATCCCCAATTGTGGAGTGGGGGAGGGCCATTGGAGATTATGCCTAAAAGAAATAAAAAGTTAATCTATGTCACCATCTAGTGGCCTTAGAGTATAGTTCTGAAGGGAGAAACTTCTCCAAGGAGTATGGACCCAGAAGGTAAGCCTCCAGAGTCCTAGTACCTAGTACCTAGCCTCTTCCTAGCTGGACTAGCAGAAGATCCACTTTACAGGGACCAGAATCAGCACAAGACATCCCAAGACCAAATTCTCAGCACAAAGATTTATTTACCATAGAGGGGGGAAAGCAGAGAATAAAAAACAAAGACAGAAAATAGGGATGAAGAAGAAGAGGGAAATGAACAAGGGAGTGAGGGAGTGATATTTATCCCAGGGTAGAGAGGGTCTCTACCCAGGGTCTCTGGGTAGAGAGGACACAGACATGGCACTTTAGAAAATGGTAGTTTATAAAGGAAAAAGGGGACACTTCCCATGTTAGGATGGGGTACTTAATTTTGATTGGACATGTTAATTAGGTGAGCCAATTAGGTGCTTTTGATTGTTGGACTTCAATACTTCGATAGCTGGACCTTGGTAGTCAGCGGCAGGAAGAGGAAGTGATAAAGTGGCTAACTTTAGCAATGCAATCTAATGGTTTTTAGCAAGGCAGGGGGAATGTGTAAGAAGGCAAGGCCTGCCAGAGCCATGGTTCCATGTTCGGCTGCCTAGAGTCCCTTCATACCTCACCTGCTTCTGTCTGCACAGTTGCACAAGTCTAACCTTTGGACAAAGCAGAAATGCCACCAAGGACATTGTTCTGTTTGCCAGCATCATAAGTCCACTAACTATCTGGCAACTGTTATCTACTTGTTTTTTTGAGGTGTACAAACATAGTTTCACAAAAGCTAGACTAAATGAAAAATAGTAACCTGACCAGAAAAGTCTTATACAAGGGTATGAAAAGTATAAATTTATAACCTATTTTGATAGCATTTAAAGTTGTTGCAAGGTGGGGGAGCACCCTCATAGAAGCAGAGTAAGGGGGGATGGGATGGGGGGGGTTGCAGAGGGGAAGCTTGGAAAGGGGATAACATTTAAAATGTAAATAAAATGTTCAATTTTTTTTTAAAAAACAGTTGTTCCAAATACATAAATTCCTTTCATGCTCAGCACTGCATGGAATGTCTTAGCACACATTAAACTGCCATTTAATAACTATAGAAAGAAGCATGACTTTTTTTCAGTAACTTTATATTTTGATATTTGTTCAATGTAATTTGTTTTTAGAGCTATATGTATTCGCTAAGCATAAAATCGTTAGGAGTTTAAAGCCTAACAGGATTTCCAAGTTTATGACACTAAAACGGTTTTAATCCCTGATGACCAGTGAATAATATAGCTTAGTGAACAAAAGTGGCCAAGAGGCTATTTTCAGGGAAATTATTGTGATTATTTAGCTCTTTAATGTTTGTGAACAGTAGACCCAAAGAGAGCAGTGCATTTATTTTAAAAAAGTTTCTAAATATCAGTCTTCCAAATAAATGTAGTTGGAAAATCATGAAACCTAGAATATGCTTAACAGAGAACACAAACACGCACTAGAAAAATAAAAATTGTAATTTTCTGAGGGCCAAAAATCAGAGGCCGTCAGAGGTCAGCTTTCACATCACACAAAATTATTTCAGTCTCCACGTGTGACTTTCAGGCCCTTGAGCACACTCTTCTGGGCTCCAGGAAAATTAACTCATCTTTGTTCGAAGACTCCCAGGCCATGCTTGGGGATGGGATTTGGAGTTGCAATAGGGTTGCAGAGTACTCTGTGATACAGTTTGCAGAAGATTGCTATAAGTTCACCCCATTCACGCCACGCCCTACATCTTGGAGTGTTTGCGCCGGACAGGAGATGAGGTGATGGCCCAGGATGGGGAACAGCACTGGGCTCAGAGTCCAGCTCTTCTCAACCACCACAAGGCCTAGCAAAGAACAGCTGACGTTACTGTGCTCTCTGGCTCCTGCGGGGAAGGGCGGGGCCGCGCCGCCGAGCCCCGCCCAGTCCAGCACGGCCCCAACCGAAGCTGGCGCGCGCACCGGGAAGTGGAGAGACCGCGTATCCCAGCGCCCGGCGGCCGTCATCTTGCACGCTCTAGGCCGAACTATGCTGGCGCTCCGAAGCGGCCTGAAGACGGCGCTGGCCCCGCGGGCTCTGGCGCCTCAGGTAGGGGTCGCAGGGGCGTGCGAGAGCCGTGCGCCGGGAGGTGGACGTCGTTCTTAGGTTGTGCAGTAACGGAGTTCAGGATGGTGGGTGCGGTGGGTAAGCGAGCGTAGTCTCGGGAGGTGGGCGGGGTGTGTGGCGGGCAAGAGCGGCCATGGGGGAGGTGGGCGGGGCTCGTGGTGCGCGTGATGGCGACGCTGCGAGGTGGGCGGGTCTGTAGTGTGGAGAATGAGCTGTGTTCAGGGAGCTGGGCGGAGCCTGTACTGTGAGCCGGAGGCACAAGGCGGTGGGCGGAGCCTATGCTGTGCCTGGGAGGCACAGAGAGGTGGGCGGGGTTTGTGGGGCGGGACAGGGCAACGCTGCGAGGTGGGTGGGGTCTGGAGCACGAGTGTACACCCTCTCACTGGCTGCCAGACGGTCTAGTCAATGTGCGGTTCAATAAAGATCCAATATTCGTGAGTCCAAGGCACCCAACGCTTGAAGAGGTACCCGCTTCTCAGGTCGCCTCCCTGGACAATGGACAGAGGCCTTTCCCTGGCACCAGGGGGTGGGGGGGTTGTCCCTAGAGTCCTGAGCATTGCGTTCTTGCAGCTATCACTATCGCAACTACTCTTTTACAGCTCCTACTGTGTTCAAATGCGAACGTTTTGTGGAGTACAGGAGCATCCTGCCCTGCAACTCAGGGTTCAGGAATCTTAAGCCGAGTACAGACCTGGAGCCTCTTGAAAATGGTTGTGCCTGAGATGGGACTTGTGTAAAAGGGAGGAAGCAACCAGCCTCAGCTGTTGACCCTGGGCTATTTGTGACTTGAACCCAGAAATTGTTGACCTCCTTTGTTCAGGCAGAGCATTCAGCTGGCCTAGAGACACTTTGTTGTGAATACTAAAGAGCATACTTTCCATACGGCCCCTGTCCTTGCTGCCTTCCTAGTGTGGTTGACAAAAAGCTCTTAATTTGGAGATAAGGGAACAAGCAGATTTCTACCTTGGCACAGTTTGGCTCAGCCCTGCAACAGAAAATTACCTCACCTCTTAATATACACTTTTACCATACAGATTTCTTTAATGTATACTTTCTTTGTGAAAGATTATAGTAAAAGTATCTTTGATCAGTAACTTATTTCTGTTCTACCAATACAAGTTTCTTGAATCATTCTAAAAGATTGCTACAAGTCTGCCGTGTTTCATTTTTTATGATCTGGTATGTATTTAAGAATTTAGGTTTACTTTTATGTGTTTGTGCACCATGTACATGTCTGTTGCTTGAGGTCAGAAGAAGACAATGGCTTCTCTGGGACTAGAGTTACAAACCATTGAGAGCCACCTTATGGGTGCTAGAAGTGGAACCTGGGTTCTCTGCAAGAGCCACAAGTGCTGTCAACCACTGAGCCAGCTCTCCAGCTTTTATTTTAAACTACACGTCTGAGGCAGTTATTTATAGAGTGTAGTTACAAGCAACAAAAGCGTTCCTACCACAGCCAGGACCACCTGCAGTGTTTTTTTAATATAACAAGCTTAGTTATTTGGAAAAATAGAAACATAACTCATAATAATTGTGAATAAAATGAGATACTTGGGTGATTAGATTAACCTTGTACACAGGAAAAGTTTATATATTATGTCTTGTAGACAAAAATAGTTAAGGCCTGTTGCTTTCCTTAGTCCTAAAGATGATCAAGGTAAGCACTAATTTCATCATAGCTCTACGTACCAAAGTGGTTTTGAATATTTTTCTCATTTAATCACTTTCAGAAAGTGGATACATGCTAATTCAACCCACTTAGAATGGTGCTATAAACTAGAATGCTATGTGGTGTGTGTGTGTGTGTGTAACCATACACAGGATAATTAATGGCAAGATGCTTTCTAGCAGTTATTAAATCACAACATGAAATTTTTCATACAAAGCATATGACTATTAAAGTATATTTCCATCAACCTGATGTAACTGGGAGCATTAAATGCCCTACTTTGTATTGCACCTTTCTTTTGAAACTGAGGAGGTCCCTGCAGGTGTCCAGGCACAGCAGTGAACCTGCAAAGAGAATTAAAACGTGGTTCAGATTGACATTGTCAACCTCATCAGACTTTGGGGAGTCTAATGCCAGGCAGTTTGTTATAAGCATATTCAGCACAGTACAGTTTGGGGAAAAGTTTCCAGAAACAGCCATTCCCATTCTAGGTTTCTAGACAACAATCACCAATTCCAGATGTGACGTAAGCTTAAGGTGTGACTACATAGAAACTCCTTTGCAAAGTACATGTGACCATGAGGTGAGTTCTATAGTTTAGAGGCCTAGACTCTAGTGTGGCTCTGACCAATAGCCTAGAGGTCACCAAGTGATAAAGTACCTGTGACATCTCCTCGATTAACCAGAGCTAAAGATAACAGTCCAGGAGGGAAGGTCTAGAATAATCATTCAGGGGGATTTGGATAAGGTCTACTTCTATAGCAAAAGATGGGTGAAGTCTGCCACTACTGATAGCAAAAAGGTCCCCAGATCCTCAACAATATCCACTCCTAGCCTTCTGAGCAGAAAAACAGATAATCCCTCCATTGAGGAGAGGCCCCTGCATGTATAACATTCCTGGTGCCCTAATACTCTGTGGATACAATGCCTATGAGCCCCAACCTGAGACTGACGTTTCAGAGTACTTCTGTCTCCTGAGTTCTCCCTTTTCAGTGTTTATACAGCCATCTACTGTATTGCAGAGCAATTTTAATAGTTCATGGCATTTTTTTTTGATCAGTAATTTACTTCACTGAGTACTGTAAAAAAAAAAATAAGTTTAGATCTAAATGATACTCATTTCTTTTAGGAACCCAAAGCGTCTTCTGCTAATAAAGATTTTGATTATGTCTGTCAAAAAGACACACATACAGAATGTGCAATCTTCTTTTAAATGAGTCGTACTATTGACTACTGGCTTTGACTAAATAAGAGAAAACTCCAAAGTTATAAGGCTCCCTGGGAAACATGATTATAACCTTGGTGATTGCATATCAGCAACTTTTCATGAAAATGTACTTAAGGATGCCCTCCAGCTAGGAAAAGTAACTCTATTCAGCATACCTAAGAGCCGTTACCTTTATTAGTATCTCTACATAAGCATGTCTATAAAGAGTTGACAGGAGGAATAGAAATATGAACTATGAATCTACTTTGTATCCTTTGTTTGTAGGCTCAAATACATGATTGTATCAGCATGATAAATCTTTTCCAAAATATTTCAATGTCCCCTGTCTTTTCTCAGGTATGTTCACCTTTTGCTACAGGCCCCAGGCAAAGCGATGGGACATTGTATGAATTCCGTACCTATTTTCTCAAGCCCTCAAAGACAAATGAGTTCCTGGAAAATTTTAAAAAATATGTTCACCTTCGGACAGCTCACTCTGAAATGATTGGCTATTGGACTGTAGAATTTGGAGGCAGAACGAACAGAGTATTCCATATTTGGAAGTATGGTATGAGTCACACAGCTTCGGCTTCATGCAAATGCTCATTGTTAAATAGTCTAGGAAGCCTGGTTCTTCAGTCTGTGTTGCTGTACATACACATGGACTGCAGAAGACATTTTGAAAGCAATATAGTAAATTTAGCCATTACTTAGTGACCACTTTGTATCAACACCACTTGCTTAGACTCTGAGGTTAATATTACGGGAATGTATTGTTTCATGACTCTCTAATAGGATGAACTAGCTTTAATTCTCAGTTTTAAGATGGTTTGCTAGGAAAAAAAATATCTTTAGTAAAATTAAAATCTGTGCTTGCAGAAGTCCAAGTTTGTGGAGAAAACAAAATGAAAGTATCCTATTAATAGAGCTAGAGCTGAGTATCAATACTTTAGTTATTATTATTTTAATAATTCTCATATTTAGAGCCTTTGAAACGGTATCCGACTATCAGCTTTTGAGTTTCTCAACTCTTAAGATTTAATGACTTCGTTATTTAGAAATCACTTTTAAGTTCTTCACAGTTTCAAAGAATTCACTGTCTTGTTCTATAATGGAGACAAAGGCAGAGGAATTGAGAATGTTCTCATGCTGCAGAACAAGTGTCAAGAATGTGAACATTCTTACTCCTGTGTCTGGTCTTCATAGCCTACAGCAGGGCCTGTGGGTACCTAAGGAACTCTGAATCATTTGATTTTGAGCTTCTCCAGCAGTGTCCAAATTAATGTTCAAGAAATGCTTTACTATGAAAATTATTCATTCTGTACCTAACATGGCACCTTCTGGGACTTTTCCATGCTATTGTAGATCAAGTCTCAGTAAAATTAATAAAGGCTTCAGGTGATATACTAGTTAAAACATGACCCATTAGGAGAACTAACAAGAGTGTGAGAATCAATACCATTTTGTTTACCAAAATGGAGAACAGGCTTGATGGGTGCATTTTCCATTCACTTAGGTTGAAATTTGCTCAAGGTATATCTTGACTGCATACCATCATTACCAAAGTATTTCTCCCTCAACTGGCCCTGTCAGCTGGGTGCTTCAGTTGAAGAAGAAGAATCCACATATGTTCAGTGCTAAGTGCTGAGGTCTATTCTAAACCCTCTTCATGGACTCCTTTCATCTTTACTACAGACCTGGAGGTTGATGTTCTCTTATTTCCCCATATCACAGACTTAGAAACATATGGTAACTTAATTCCTGTACACCGCGGAGTGGTAGAACCTGTGAAGCCCGTTCAGTGAGTGTCTTAGTCAGGGTTTGTATTCCTGCACAAGACATCATGACCAAGAAGCAAGCTGAAGAGGAAAGGGCTTACTCAGCTTACACTTCCACATTGCTGTTTACCACCAAAGGAAGTCAGGACAGGAACTCACACAGGGCAGGAACTTGGAGGCAGGAGCTGAGGCAGAGGCCGTGGAGGGGTGCTGCTTACTGACTTGCTTCACCTGGCTTGCTCAGCCTGCTTTCTTTATAGAACCCAGGACTACCAGCCCAGGGATGGCACCACCCACAATGGGCCCTCCCCCATTGATCACTAATTGAGAAAATGCCTTGCAACTGGATCTCACGGAGGCATCTCCTCAAGGGAGGCTCCTTTCTCTGTGATAACCCCAGCTTGTGTCAATTTGACACACAAAACCAGCCAGTACAGTGAGATTACAATAGTTTCTTTTTTTTTTTTTACCCTGAAGACTGGGATTTGATGCAGATAGCAGATCTTGGCATGTAGGTGTTCCCAAAGCCATAACACAGTGTCTTGTGTGCTATGGACAAAATGTTTGCTCATTTGGGCGAAATCCAAGGAGGGGTAGACAATTTTAAATAAAACAACATAAACTTTTCTCCATTTTTTTTCTACCATAGATAATTTTGCTCATCGAACTGCAGTCCGCAAAGCCTTGGCCAATGATAAGGAATGGCAAGAGCAATTCCTCATTCCAAACTTGCCTTTCATTGATAAACAAGAGTTAGAGATTACCTACCTGGTACCATGGTGCAAAATAGGAAATCCTCCCAAGGAAGGTGAGACTGTCTTAGGCACTGTGAATTGTCATGACCGAAATTGTTCAGACCTTAAGTGATTTAAAAGAAAAAAAAAAGTGCCCCTGGAAAACAAAAAACAATGAATTATTTGTTTTATATAGGAATGGTGCTGTGAATATTCAGATTAAAACTAATCTTAATTTATTCTTGAAAATAAGAATTAATTAGTGAAGTAGTTTTCAAAGTAAGATAAATATACATATATACACACATACATATATTTGCATGTTTGTATTTTTTTAATGCACATAGGTGTTTTGCCTGTATGTTTGTCTGTACACAACTGGCATGCTTGACACCTAGGGAGGTCAGAGGAGGGCATCAGATCCCCATGGAACTTGAATTATAGACAACTGAACTGTCATGTGGGTACTGGCAGTTGAACCCAGCTTCTCTGCTAAAGCAACTAGTACTCTTGACTTCTGAGCCATCTCACCAGCTCTTCCAAACATTATGGATTTAAGCTTAATTATGATGTAGAAAAAAAAAAACCAGTATAATATTAAAGTTTTTAGGGTTGAGACAAGCTCTCATGATATAGCCCAGGGTGAACTCTAATTCACAATTCTTCTGCCTTAAACTCTCCAATGCAGAGACTATAGGCATGTAATACCATGGCTGTTTAAATAATATAAACATTTAAATACAAAACTACTTTTCACAGATTATAGCATTTTAGATTAGGCGCATCTTTCCTTATAGAATAGACTGTCTGGAGGGAGTGAATTAGCTGGTACTGCCAAGGTACACTGCAGCTAACCTTTCAGTCTTCCTCCTCTTCTTTCTCAGTTTGAAAGTAATTCCTTATGTTACGTCTTCTTGCTGATTTAAAGAAACTATTATCTCAATCCAGTTTTAAACAAAGGTCAGATTATAAAAGCATAACATTTTAACTTTTATTTCCCATTTTTTCCAGCTCTATATTTTAGAGTACAAGAAATTCAAAAAGTCTCATTGAGACCTTCCCTGTAGGGAGCAGAGGAAGCCCTGAGGGAATGTGTGTTCTAACATGAGCACAGACTGTTGAGGATACACAAGGGTTCAGACCCATAGGACAATTGCAAAGCCATTACTCATATAAGCCAGGCTCAAGAGAAATGGCAAAGCTTTCCTTAGGACTTATGTATGAATATTTATGATTGATCCTGTGTGCCAACAACTTCAGCTTCCTTCTGGATATTTGCAGCCTGAGACTGCTCACCTACAGAGACCTCCTGTTAGGCTAGCTAACCCTGTCCCCTGGGCTGTACCTAAATAAAGGAGGGGAGGTTTCAGGTGGTGGTGGTAGAGGCACTGTTATAAAACCTCACCTGACCCCAGATCATTGTATGTGTGTCTGTATGTCTGTTCTTCATTCCCCTGCCCCCTGGGTTCTGGGACCCAAGCCACAAGGTATGCAGCATTCATCTCCTTAGGTCTGCCCTCTGCTTTCAGCACTGGGCAAACACAGTTGCCATCCCTTGCAGTGTCAAATCTTGGTGAGTGTGGTTGTTTTGTTTTGTTGCATTTTTCCCATTTACTTACGTAGTATATATACATGCCATAGTACACACATGAAGGTCAGAGAGCAACTTGGGGGAGTTGGCTCCTTCCTTATATTGTATGTGTTCCAAGGACTGAACTCTGTCAGGCTTGGCAACAACCATTTTGACACACTAAGCCCTCTCACTGGACTTAAATGTTATTTTCCTCTAAATTTTTCATAGTTCTTTGGTGGCCTTGTTCTTTCTCTTTTTTCTACCAGATCTACTTATCCTCTAGTTTCATATTTCTGCTTTATATTTCTGACTAGAGGATAAATAAAAACCCTCTCAAACAATACTTGGATATTTAAGAACACTAAAACCCCCTGCTGAGGTCTTTTTCCAGAAAGTCAGATATGACTTCAGGCCAACTGTTTTCTATTCTTGTTAGGAATAGACTCTCAAAGGAGGAAATTAAACAAAGACTAATATCTCCCCTCTCAGAGTTGAAAAGAAGAGGCAAAAATAGAAGATCAGAAAACACTTATTTCAGCCAGGCAGTGGTGGCGAATGCCTTTAATCCCAGCACTTGGGAGGCAGATGCAGGTCGATTTCTGAGTTCGAGGCCAGCCTGGTCTACAGAGTGAATTCTAGGACAGCCAAGGCTATACAGAGAAACCCTGTCGCGAAAAAAAAAAAAAAAAAAAAAAAGGAAGAAAGAAAGAAAAAAAGAAAGAAAACACTTATTTCTTTTCTTATAGATTTACACAGCTTATCCTATTTTGTGATAAAGTATAGATAATCTGGTACATTGATAAAGTTCCCAGATTAAAACTATTTACTGTAATTGTTTATATATAGCTTCTATTTCCCCTCAGTTGCTAAGGTTAACCTTAAACAGACAAGAAATCTAAACATAAACATGAGGAAAAATAATACAAAGAATTAACAAATACATCTGCATAAATCTGTATATGCAAATGACCCTCTTTCATTAATTAATTTATTTATTTACATTACATCCCAATCACAGCCCCCCTCCTTTGTCTCATCCTAGTCCCTCCCATCCCCTTCCATTCTAGCCTCCCCCTCTCTGAGGAGAAGAGGAGCCTCCCCAACCCCTGGTACCAACCCTCCCTGGCACATCAAGTCACATCAGAACTAAGTGCATCCTCTCCCACTCAAGCCAGACAAGGCAGCCTAACTAGGAGAGAAGGATTCAAAAGTAGGCAACAGAGTCTGAGTCAGAGACAGCCCCTGCTCCAGTTGTTGGGGGACCCAATTCCACAAGACTCCCTGATATTTAATGCCTAATGTTTGGCTGTGGGTCTCTGCATCTGTTTCTATCAGCTGTTACATGAAGTCTCTCAGGAGACAGTTATGTTAGGTTCCTATCTGCAACCATAGCAGAATATCATCAATAGTGTCAGGGGTGGGCTCTCTCCCATGGGGTGGCTCTCAAGTTGGGCCAGTCATTAGTTGACAATTCCCTCAATCTCTGCTCTAGGAGATGACCATTTAAATATATATCGTCACTTCCCACTCCTAGAGTCAAACAAAGCAAATTGCCTGAATAGTGTCTGTTGAGTAATTACTTAATTATTTAATTGTTTCAATTCTAGGAGTCTATGAACTGGCTACCTTTCAGATGAAGCCTGGCGGCCCAGCTCTATGGGGTAATGCATTCAAAAGGGCAGTAAATGCCCACGTTGAGCTTGGCTACTCTACACTAGTTGGTGTTTTCCACACTGAGTACGGAGCCCTCAATAGAGGTACAGCTGTCTGTTTCTATGAAACTGTGATGAATGTTGGTGATTGCCTGTTTCTTGTTTTTTTTTTTAACGTTGATTTTTAATTTTGAGAGTATTAGGTTTGAAAACACTGATTTGTATCTTATTTTTTATTGTGATTGCTACTACCTTTCGGAGCTATTTCACAGGTTAACAGTTCTTTAAAAACTGAAAGTGTCTTTAAGCAAATATTCTTTTCATCATTTTTCTAAGCATTATAATTTATTTCAAGATAATAATACTGAAGTAAAGATATTGTTTCTACTGAAAATATGAATATATGTTTTTATAAATTGCAAAAATTATGAACGAACCCAAACAAAAAAATTACCTATTTTCGATTAGTGACATTAACAGTGTTCTATGAATGGCAAAGGAATGCAAAGACCAAAGAACTGTTGCATATGAAAAGGCTAGAAACAGTGTATGTGCATGACGATGGTGACGACTTCCTAGGACTCCAGTATGGATAGACAGACCACACTGGCATGATGGCCTGTGTTTGATCCCTGGCACCCACATCCAAGCGCTGTCAACAGTCTCAGCCCTGAGGAGATGAAAGTAGGAGGCGTACCAAGTTCCAAATTCAGTGAGAGACCTTGTATCAAAACAGGAAGAGAGCAATTGAGGACACCTGGCATTGACCTCTGATTTCCACATGCGCACATATTCATGTGTACCCAGAGCATACAGAGCTACACATTCCCAATCAGGGTCAGGAATATAGAGCAGAGGTAGAGTACTTACCCAGCATTCATTCCCATTCTTTCAAAAGGCCACAGACTCCATGCCCAGTGACACACACATTTTTAAAATCACCTGCTATAAGATTATATCTAGAATATAGTACAGGCATGCACATGTGCTACATGTATATATATGCAGATAACAATAAAAAAGAGGGCATGAATTTGAAACAGAGCAAGGAGGTTATATGAGAGGGTTTGGAGGGAAAAAAAGGAAGGGAGAATGGATATAATTATAATCTCATGAAAGAAATGCCCATCATGAAAGAAATTACAGCTAACTCATGATTTACTTCCCACAGTTCACGTTCTCTGGTGGAACGAGAGTGCAGACAGCCGAGCAGCTGGGAGACACTGGTCTCATGAGGATCCCAGAGTGGTGGCTGCTGGTGAGCTGTTTGATTAGGCATGAATTATTTTTAGAGCAAATTTGATTGCGCTGATAGCTTCATTGTCTTCTAAAATGTCTTTGCAGTTCGGGAAAGTGTCAATTACCTAGAGTCCCAGCAGAATGTGTTCCTGATTCCAACATCATTTTCACCAATGAAGTAGTTTCCTTCCCAGCATTGAGCATCCCAGTCACAGAGGTGAGATGTGTCTACTGCAGGTACTTCATTTCTCCATGAGAATCGCCATTTGTTGTCTGAAGGAGGTGCTGAGCTACCACACTGTGCCCTCTGCATTGTTAAGGCTACCAGAGTCATTTCCTACAAGTACTCCAGGAAATATTTTGTTCATTTTCGTATCTACTAAATAGCAGAAAGAGTTGTTGTTACTCCATGCCCTGTACTTTATTGTTTCATAAGATCCTGTCTTCTGTGATTTTATGACTACGTCTTGTATTCAAAAAATGATTTTGAAATTTTTTCCCTCAAAATATTTGTAAATTAAATAAATACAATAACTGCCTTCTTATTGTGTTCATTTTTCCTGAAATTTAAAACTTTTTTTTTACTTCAGTAATGTTTACTTTGTGGTATCAAATGGGATTGATAGAAATATTAAATCTGGTATTTGTCTTTATAGTTTAGAAAAATATAATACTATGTCATCCGTATTAATTACAGTTTCACATTCATTATTAAGTCAAAATTGGAAAACAATATATTCTTGAGACTTGCTGTATAATATGGTTTCAGCGTGTTTGTTTTTAATTGCATTTTACTACTTTTAACTTTACCTTGAATTACTTATAAGTATTATGAGACACTTATTTATTTCAATGAGATCTTTACAATTATGGAAATCTTTGACCTAATAAAAGCCTTCACATCCACTCTGATTTTTTTCCAGGGTGTCTTCTATATTTATATTCTTTTTTTTCTGGAGCTTTTCCTGTGTTGCATAGAGTAAAGACATCATAACAATGTGGCAGCTTCGTAGGTGTTAAGTACATAAAGGAATAGCCTGCTGCCTGGCTCTGACAGCGAGCTTCTGTACCACTGCCGTCTCAACTGTGGCACTATGGGCTGGTGCTCAGGAAGGCAAGCTGTGCGGCTTTCCCATCCATCTCAGAACCTTGTAACATTTATGTGACATAGCTGAAGCTTGGTATGTGCTTCACATACACATGAATTAACAATTAAAAGATAATATTAAGCCAGTCTAGGATAGTTGTGAGTCACAGAAAGACAAATGTTTTCTCTCAGATGTGGTCCCTAGATTTTCTGTGTACATAAAACCATGTATGTCTATATAAAATGAAAGTAAAAACAAAACTTGTCTATGGTAACAGAAGGAAACAGGGAAGAGAGGTTTGACGGAGGGAACATAACAGTGTACAGTGTGTGCTTGTGTGAAAACTTCCTTAGATAGCACAATACCATATGCAATGAATGTATACAATGAATTTTTTAATTTAACAATTAAATTACAATTAACAATTAAGCCCAAATGCACGTAATTAAAATTTTTTTTATTTAATTAAACATTTAATGTTCACTTATAAAATGTTTTTTCCAACATAATGTTTTTCTTGGTTATTTGGGAATTTCACACAATGCATCCTGGTTCCACTCATATCCCATTCCTCCCAGGTCCACCCTCCCACCCTTGTGCCTTCCCCAGAGAAAAGGAAAAAAGAAAAACAAATGCAGGGAGCCCAATTTGTCTTGCTCATATACTCACTAGAGCGTGATCAAACTAATAGTGGCCAGCCCCTTAAAGAAGCCAGAGGCCTCCCCTCACCTCTGCTCCATGAACTGTGAAGGGCTACATTTCAGCATCCCTATCACAGATTTCAAGGACTCTCTTAATGGCTTCCTGTCTGTATGGTTTCTTTTCTTTTTAGGGGGCGGGGTGGTCACAGGTCACGGACACCAACATGGTGTCTTCTTATGACACAGGCCATGAACATCAACATGGCCCTGGCAGCAGCATGGACCATGGACATGGACACCTATAGGGTCTCCAGTCTCCATCGGCAGCACAGACCATGGAGGCCTTTCAAAGAGACCCAGTCTGGAAAATGAACCATTCTCCATCTCGGACATCCTGGCCCAGAGGCAGGGCCGTCATGCGCCTGGGCACTGCATTCTGGGGCAGAGTGTGTACAAGTTCGAAGCTGCTACACACCACTCTGTTGGCCCTACTCAGCAATGGCATGTTCCCAGGTCCGCCACAGCCACAGTGTCTCTAGCCCTGCCTCTCCATATCATGCCAACAGTTCAGTCATCTTTCCCACCTCTCCATGGCATATTTAATCACCAAAGGGACGATGCAGACTGCAGTGCGTCACACAATATACTTTTTTTTTAAACCTGAACAGCTTTACATGCAAATACTGCAATAAATCATTGGTCTTCTTCAAGGTTTCTGGTTTCTGAAGCACCATAAATACTGGACTAGAGCTGAGACTCCTTCCGGTTATCCTGTTGTTATCCAGAGTGGGGGTGATCTTTCGACTGGGGCAGAATCCAGAATCCGTGCGAGATTCCAGGTCAATGCACAGCCCCCTGCCCTTGGTGCTGGCTGCTCCACCTACTCACAGGCTCACCCTGTATGGCTGCTGGCAAATGCTGCCTCTGCTCTCCTCCCAACATCAGGGCAAGCAGCACAGGCTGCAGCACCTGCAGCTCAGCCCTCCTCAGGGATGGATGACATGTACTTTGTCTGTGATCTCATGCCTGCCCAGGTGCCATACTCCACTGGGCCGGGCTCTGCTCTACCTTCTAATTTCGTGAGACCACATTTTAAAAGCATCTTACTACAGACCTGCCTTTTTCAAAGTTGTTCTGGAAATACTATGGGCTCTGCAGACTCCCCTTCTGCCACTGTGTCTCTCCTCAGGGCTTCCATGAGTCTCAGGCTACAAGGTCCCTCAGGTGCCAGTGGCCACTGCCAAACTCAGCCTATTATAAAACATTACCAAAAGCATTTTGCTTCGATAACTCCTTGAGCATCAATCTTCTTCGACCGTTACGGTAGCAAAGTAAAAGTTAAGAGCTGGCATTTTGATCTTTTTGATGGACACACTAGGCATTATCCTACCCATTCTCCTTAATCTAAGCTATTTACTTACTTACTTGGTTTAGATCATATATACCTTATTTGTATTTAGCTCCAACTGCATTTTCACTTTCTACTGAACTTAAAATAACAGAGATATGCCTTGCAAGAGATTTGAAGAGGGTCGTAACTGATACGCACAGGTTCACATAGTAGCATTGATTGTCTGGAAATTTGATTTTCTTCTCTTCCCTTAGATTGTCCTCAGTACTCGCTCCTCCTCTTCATTCTCTATTATTGAACCTTCTTCCTCACTGGGAACAAACAAATGAAAGTAATCAGAAGAGAGAGTGCAGACTGACACTCCCTGTCACTGCCTGCAGGACTTTTTCTCCTACTCTGCACCTGAGGAAGACCAGCTCATCCACACGTAGCTGAAGGAAATGGCTACAGAACGTTCTGTCTCCTGAAGCTAGTTTTTCAGCTCTCAGTCCTTCTCAGCATACAAATATACTTATTTCATCTTTAAAAAACAAAATCATCCTGCCCTGTAGTAACACAAAAGAAGTGTCATACTTCCAGCCTCTGATTAATTCTCTCTTAAACAACTCAGTACCGCACTAGCCAAATAGTCCTCACCAAACTCACTTTCCAGTTTTCATTTTAGTAGATTTCCTAGCAGTTGACTTGTTCTTTGTTCTAGATTTTTTTTCTAGATTTTGTTCTAGATTTTCCTTCATTCCCTTAAATACCATCTGTTTAGTTTTCTTTACTTATTGATGCTTTTGGGTCACTATCTTGTCTCCTTCATCTCCAATGATATCACAGCCCAGCACTGACTCCCTAGACATTTTTCTATCCTGCACTCACTTTCTGGATTATGTTTCTGTCATACGTCTTCAACTGGCACCTGTATTCAGACGGTCCATCCAGTATATACGCATTCTCTAGAATTCAGCCTTACTTAACTGCCAGTCTTAGCACTTCCACCAGAACATATTAGAAACTTTATAGCACACCTGTTGAAAGCTAAGCTCTTAATCTTTACCGGAAAGTCTGTCTCAGTGAATGACACCTCCTTTCCTGTCCATTTGCTCAGGTTATTACTCTATTACCTATCAGCAAATCCCAAAAGTCCAGAATGTGATTGCTTCACACTCCTGCGGCCACCATCTGGTCCGAGCCCATCATTATTGGGGTTTAAGGGGACAGCTCTTCACTGACCTGCTATCATCCTAGTCTACTTTCAACACAGCAACTGGAAGGATAGAAAACACAAACCACACTAATTCACTCCTCTACTCCCTTGTGTCTCTGATAGCTTCCGGTCTCCCTTAGGGTCAGTGTGGCCTGTAAGCCTTTTACATGATCTGTCCCCCGGTTACATTCTTTAGTGTCATTCCACTCCCTTGGTTCCAGGCGACTTAACAGCTTTTCTTCTTTGACTCACTAAGCATTGTCTTGCCATAAAGTCTATTTTCCTTGCCTAGGATCTTCATCCCTAGACATGGATTTTCTTGGATCATCCACACCTTATTGGGATCTTTACCCCAGGGCCCGATGCAGCCCTCCTTGACAGCTCTACTTAAAATCAAAAACCTTGTTTGCTATGGAATGAACTTTCCCCCTTCAAATTCACATCCTAGAACCCCAATCCCTAACGTAATTCTTAATGTAATGATGTTTAGAGACCTTATGATGTATCTTAGTCAGTGTTCTATTGCCATGAAGACACACCATGACCACATCAACCTTTCTAAAGGAAAGCAGTTAAGTGGGCTTGCTTACAGTTTCAGAGGTTTAGTCCATTGTCATCATGGTGGGAAGCATGGTAGCATGTAGGCAGGCAGACATGAGGCTGGAGAAGGAGCTGAGGGCTACATCAAGATCTGCAGGCAGCAGCAAGAGAGCTTGGAATGGGTCCTTGAAACATCAAAGCCCACCCCTAGTGACACACTTCCTCCAACAAGGCCACACCTTCTAATCCTTTCAAAGAGTGCCACTCCCTGGTGACAGTGCTTTCAAATCTATAAGCCTATGGGGGCTATTCTTATCCAAACCAGCACACGAGATAATTGGGCTTATGTGAGGGGATGGGGCCCCTTGATAGAATGAGTGTCCTTATAAGTATCCTCTCCATATCTCTACCATGTGAGCTAACCAATGAGGCGTGCACTCGGAGCTAATCATGGTTAGCATCCTCATCTCAGATTTCCCAGCCTCCAGAATGGTAAGAAATAAATGTTGTTTAAGCTACACAGTTGACAGTATGTCACTTATTAGCATAACTAATATTTTACTATTTTAGTTATATGTGACCTGGACAGAAAGTGGACCCTTGATATGATCCTCAAAGGTGTAATGTTACCCCAAACAGTACCACCAGCTAGGGACTATGTGTCATGCGTATGTGGGAAACAGTTCACTACATTCAAATGTTAATTGTAAGTTGTCTATAACCCCTGGATCTCTTTTGTATTTGTCTTTTGCTGTGTGGTCTCTCCATTTTGCACACGCCACCACCGTGATGCCATCTTCTATGAAGCTTAGACGAGAACACCTGCTCTTGGATTTTCAACCTCCAAAGTTGTAAAGTTGTAAGGTAAATCAATCTCTCCCTCCCCTCCCCATCCGCCCTCTCCCTCCCTCCCTTCCTCTCTCCCTCCCTCCTTCCCTCCCTCCTTCCCTCCCTCCCTCCCTCCCTCCCTCTCCTCCCCCTCTCCACACTATTCTGACAGCAGAAAATCTTCTTTGGAAAGTATCTATGAAAGACACAGTGAATGGCACAGGAGACATTTTCACTATGAGTGCAATCAAATATACAAAAGATACGATTGCCTATTGGCTCTGAGATACCTTTCTAGACTACAAAGATAAAGCAATTGTAATTTTAGGAAGAGAAACAGATACTAATTGAGTCTAATTCCTCCTCCACTAAATAACTTCCAAAGGGTAAGAAAATTGGTGCTTGCAGGCTCACACCCTAGACTTCATTCCCAGCATCAACTCCTAATGTACCGAGCAAAGCCTAGGCTACTAACTACTGTGGAAACTGAAGTCGTAGTACTTTTTCAGTCATTAAAGGAGTATGAACCTGCATCATATTGAAAGAAGTCGAAGACTCATTGGAGTGACTTTCCTCATAAATTCAGTTACTTGGAAAGATCTCTCTCAACTCATCTTCATTAAAAAAAAAAAAAAAAAAAAAAAAAAAAAAAAAAAAAGGTTTCTTTAGTTTCAACTAATTGGCCCAAGACCCTGAGGTAAGGGAAGAAGTAAGACCAAGTGTGATAAGAGAGTATGGTGGAAAAAGGCTCTTGACAGTGTACATGGCTAAAGGATTAAAAACTCTCAGAAAAGAAAAGAAGAATGCCAACTGCAGTCTACAGGCAAGAGGACTCCAGATGAAAGCTTTGCAATCCAGCTCTAGTTGTCTGTTTTGCTTCAGGTCACAGTGGCCTGAAGTGATGGCGGCCCTTCCTCCTTACCTCTCGTTCATCCACTGACTGTAAGAGCTTCCCCAGGAGCCACCATCTTATGAAGTGCCATGGTCATTCACAGTTACCTTGCTTGCTCACTGTGGCAGTTTTCAGACGTAAGTAGAATTCTGCCTCCCAGGTGCATACCATCCTTTAAATTCTTGTGTATGACACACCCCAGATATGTTTGCTCCTCGTCTCCTTCCTGCCGGCCATTCGCTCCCAGTTTCCTTTGGTAACTTCTAACTCTCAGGCTCAAACTTTCATTCTCTTCAGGTAAGTAAATTCATCAGTCCCATGACTTAAAAAACAAAGACAAAATTGTGTGCTTGTGTGTGTGTTGTACTGTGCTGTTAACGTGACTATTTTTACTTTCTATCATTGCCCCTGAGCTCCTGACTGAATGTCAACTGCATACTTCAACGTAAGTATTTATCTAGTTCACAAATTAGAAGCCATTTTTGATTGTTCTTTCCTGGGACCCCTACCTACAGCCTGTAAACAAGTGTTACTGGCTCTGAATTAAATACTGACCTTTATACTTCCTCCCTGAATGCCACCACCACCATCCTGCCCTAGTCACTGTCCTCTTACCCTCTCTTACTGCCCTTTCTTCCCATCAAAGTCCACAATCTATGAAACAGGGATTAGATCATGCCATGCCCATTACTCTGTGGAAAACCTCATGGTTCCTCATTATCCTAACAATAAAAGACAAATACTCATTGAGGCAGCAAGATCTTGATTCCATCCCCTACTTTTCCCCCCCAGAGAGACATTGGACTCTTCTTCCTCCTTGACAGCCATGATTTTCCCAACTGTGTTTCTTACACTACATGTTTCAGATGTGTCCTCAGAGCCCACCTTCTGCTGCTGCCCCTGCTCATTTTGTTCCCATCTGAACTTAAATGTTTCTCCTTGGACAGGCCGTTTCTGACTCCTCCCCACTGTTAACCCGTCACCGGTTCCTATTCTTCAAAGCACTTGCTGTGCCAGGTGTGTTTGTCCACTGTCATTTGTCCTTCACCGATGCATCATTAAAGGATGAATTTGATTTCCCTCAACATTGTATCCCTAGAATCAGGATGGATGTCCAGCATACAAAGCTCAGTAAATATTTGCCAAATTAATAAATAACAATGCTTAGCGGATTTGCCAAGGACAAGTTTAACTGACACCTAACTTCAAAGGGAGGAAGAAATATTTGTTGGTTAATTAGCTTTGTATCTTGGAGCAAATTTCTCTGAGAGATCATTTATTCAACCTGTAAAATGTCTTGACTCCCTACATAGGGCAGGTTACCAGTATCCAGCAAGGTGAAAATGGTTGCTAATTTTCTCCCGTGTTTTTTGTTTGTTTGTTTGTTTTGTTTTTTGAAATTTAATACATGCAATATCACTATCCATATGGTCCAGAGTGGGTTTCTAATCTGGAACTTTAGAGAGCTTTGGTCAATATTTTGGTCAAGATCTGTGGGTAACTTGTATTTTCATCTAGGTTAACTGCCAAAACCGATAAATTTTTTTTAATCTCTCAATTATGCATTTTCACAGGCACAGTCTTGTTATTTCATTAAAGTCTTATAGCACTTTAAAAGATACAGTTGTGTGGCAGATACTGAGCAGGTTTCTAGGCCTACCCAAAAGCCAAGAACCTGCATACAAAGTTCTGACCTGTGTCTTGGATTAGGACCACTTACTGCACTGTCCCAGCCATTCTGAAGTGGTCACTACAGAACCAGGACCAACTGGGGTTTCTCAAGTTGCAAGGTTAAGTGTGCATCTTTTTCTCTGAGATTGATTCTTCATAAGCCATGATAAATACATCCTCACTGTCTCAACAGAGCCCTGCTTGTGTGTATCCTACTTAACACTGAAGTCTAGAAGCAGGGAGGGTGTCCCCATATCATTTCCGTTTTCAAATTTGTACTCCTTGGGTCCTGTGACCATTGCCATCACGCCCAGCGATGCACATGGTGCTGTGTCCTGGTAGTTTTGGTTGAGTAGGAACCCAGTAACCTCTCTGTAGCCTCTGAAAGCTACTTCTGTTCTCATTAAGGAAGTCTACCTACACTGTTTCCTCTTCAGCTTAATAATCAGTAACCATTACTCCATCTAGAAAGCCTCTGACCCATCTTTTATAACAACTATTCGGTGTCAAGTGAATCTGAAAGGACACAGAAGTCTTCTTTTATTTTGAAGTAGCATCCTGAGTTCATTCTTCAGAGGATTTGAACTTTTCCTGAAACACACCAGTGATTAAAACAGCTTCCCCTCTAGGCTTTCTAACACTTCAACAGCAGGTGGTGCTGCGGATGCACAAAAGTAAATTTGTGTAGACCAGCAGGACTGTCACAGCTTTATTTTGTGACTCATAACATAGAAACAGGCTTTTTAAAAACACTTCATATAAAGTTATTCACAATACAATTTTTTTCAGTTTTTTTTCTTTTAATGAAAATGATTTAACTTAGAAATCTGCTCTGAAACTTTTGTCTAGTTTTGCAAATCTCAGATATTCCAGTGCAAAAATAGATCCATTACAGACAGCTTAAAGTGCTTGAATTGAGGGCCAATGATAAAGAAAAAGCATAAAAACCAGCTTCATCCTAGGGCACAAGGGAAAAGAACATACTGAATCCTTATGGAAATATAATGTTCCACAAAAAGGGATGCAACAGTTTTGAATCAGAACAGGATTCCTGTGGCACTATACTATTACCAGTAAATAGTAATGAGAGTACAAATTAGTATTTCAGTATCAAAGTGGTTCTCCATTACACAACACATGGCTCTTTGGAACAATTTTACCTGATATATACAACCATGAGAAGACAACAGACAATCCCTTTAAGTCAATGCCTACTATACAGAGAGCAAATGATGTATAACATTTAAGAGTCATGAGGCATATGCTTGCAGTACAGACACCTAAATACAGTAGTTTGAGGTTTGTTTGTTTGATAATGAATTGTACTAGGTGTGTCTAGCGAGAGGACTCACTTTCTTTTGTCTTTCTCACATTCACAGTTAGTAAGTTCTCCAATATATTTTTTTTAAAAGTAAACCAGAAGTGTTTGCGCTTGAGAATTTCTCAACTCACATAGCACAGCTCCATAGGGAATCTAAGAAAATTTTATTTGAAGATAAGACTGATTTTGAAATTTCTAAAATAATTACGTTTACACAGGAAAATTGAAGACTGCTATTCAGATCGTGTAAAAGGTAACATAAATACCTACAGATTGTCTCCAGCTTCAGGAAAGATTTTAAATCTATACTGAATTAAGTTTTTTCAAGATGGTGCCTTACTTTTGTTCTTGTTTGTTTCTTTTTAAATGTGGCCTCAAAAATCAGAGTAATTGAAAAGTTAGAGCATGATGATAATGGGCTGAGAAAGCCAACGAAAGTTTGATTTTGAAAAATAAAGATTTGTTTCTTTTAATTCTGTATCTTTGATACCTAAAATACAGTGGTATGCCAATAACTCTTGGAAACACACTTTCCTTGTCATTTTAGAAACCTATGTTGACATTAGTATCAAAATCGTCATTTTTCCTTTCAAGAAATGAGTTACATAACAACATTATATAAACTTAATTTGAAATAAATCTGAAACCTTATTCTTCCAAATTTAGAAAAACTTGAAGAAAACAGTGACAGCAAAAAGCTCACTTGAACTTTGCCCAATACAGGAATTCACTCATATTTTTGTTCTGTATGAAGGCAGATGACAATGAGCACTGGTCAAATAATGGTTTTTTTCACATTGCTTGAAGATGAAAACAAATTAAACTTGGGTTAGAAAAGTCCGAAAAATACTTCGTGTGGAATAGTTTTGTTTGTTGATTGGCTTTCATGACTGGTTAAGGACTGAAGAGATGGACTGTTTGAGATCGTCAGAGGTTTAAATGGCTGTATCACATCCTGCAGAGCTTATTGTCTGCCCATATTTTGAAGGTCCCAAAGGTCACAAGCATAAATTGTATCCAAGAAATTTCAAGCTAGCTGTTTTCTCCTGAAAAGAGTTGATTGATTAGTGACCCTTCTTGGCTTTTGTATTGATGCTATCAAGTAGGCAAGGGTGTGGCCATATTCTTTCAGTACACTTAACAAAATAACCTATATCTGTAAATCAGTCAGCTGAATAAATGGCACAGAAAATCTGCTAGCTCCCTCTCACTCCTGTCTATGCATCTACATAGTGATTATACTCCAAAAATACTCAATCTGCAACCTGAAATGAATAGTGTTCTACATGATCTTAAAATATGGCCTGAGATGTTGACTGCCTCATTGTTTTCTGGTCACTGCGCTAGTCAAACATTCCATCTGCAAATTTACCAAGGAAAATAAGGCAGGAGGCAGTGCAGGCACATTCCTCTATGTGACTGGCGTCACAGTTATGGTTCTAAGCTTTCAGAAGCATTGATAAAACTTAAAATTCCAAATAATACTAACAATGCAAACATTGTTGTCAAAATAAGATGCCACCCTTTCATTTTCTAGGTTAATTCAAACAGTTAGAAAGAACTACATTTCTGTTACATAATGAAGGATCTCCAGATGTAACGTTAACCATCCTGTGTTAGCAGACAGTCAGCACAAACAGCCCCAGACCTTCCACGTATAAACGCACTGGATCTTTCATGCCACACCCTGAACTCAGCAGCTTGCTGCCCCAGCAATTTGGCTGCTCATCTTTGTTGCTTAGGAGGATCTAATGTGGTTTGGAAAAGTCTCAGAAAGCTGCTCTGACAACCCATGACATGAGCATGGGCAATACTGAACAAGAGAACCAAGTACCTGGGTTAGAGAGATCCACATTTTCCACAAGACAGCCACAACAGCAGCTCATCAAAGAGAGAAGGAGAATGGGGATTTAGTCACACTTGGCACCGTTTTGTCACCTGATATTTAATGATGTCGACAGACAGCAGGGCGGTTTTCACAAAAGTGTGACACACTCAGTGCTTCAGACTTTCTGAGCAACTTGGCACTAGTAATTCTGGCACACTCATTGCCAGCAATGGATGTGTCACAGGGAAACCAGTTTTGTGGTTCAGCATGGCTTAGTGGATGAGGATGTGCATGCCTTTGACTTTGATTATCACTGGCCATGACTATTTGATGGATTGTTGTTGCAATCCCAGAAAGAATACACAGGAACAAAAGAGTATGAATCCAAACCCAGAGTCTGCTTGGTTCCACACCAGAGTTTCACATCTGTATAAGGTAATGAACTAACTTCAAGTCATTTTCACTAGAGAGCCATACAAGACATAGGCTACAAAGGCGCTGCCCCTGTAATGGAATTGTGTTCTTGTTGCATTGAAGTGCATTGCATTGAATAGTGTCAGTACAGTATCCAGTTTGTTCCTCTCCACAGAAATGCAGGACGCTTTCTTCTAGAATACTTGACATAGTGCAAAGGAAGATCTGCTCTCCCTTTCATCCACCTTGTGTGAACAGGATTCTTCATACATAACTTTCTTTCACTTTCTCGTCCTGTAAGAAGGATGTGAGAACGGCCACATCCACAACTGTCTGGTTTTTGTGTAGTGACAGGTCCTTTAAGTGGTCATCATCACTTTGGTCCTTGGCAAAGTTCACAAATACCTGTCAAAAGGAAGAAAGATGCTCATGAAGGCTTCTGCACTGGTTCTTTTGTCATTGTAGTTGCATTTTTATTTATGGTTGCATTTTTCCCTGTGTTGAAATTAGGCGCTCAGTTAGGAGTAACTGAAAGCAACCAAGTAGGTACTTGAAATAGAAAACCCCGTATAAAAGGGAGAATTCTCGAGAAGCACCAAAAACACTGAAATCCTTTTCTACATTCCCCACATCACCAACTACTCAATCCACCCACTTAGCAGTTATCCACTTTGTCATATCTAGGATTAATTAAGAGGAAATGAAAAAACACTTGCTGCTGGATACCTACTAACTGCTAAGCTCTCTTTGGTATATTGTTAGGGTTGGTTTTAATGCTTTGCCTTAATTCGGCCCGTGTCCAGTAGTTGAGGGTCTCTGTCCCTAATTGGTTGTTGGTTGGTCAATAAAGTTACTAATAGCCAATGGCTGGGCAGGGAGATGGAGGTGGGACTTTTAGATTTCTGGAACAAGGGACTAAGGGAAGAAGGAGCAGAATCGCCAAGACAGGGAAGCAGAGAGATCAGACTTGAGAGCTGCAGGAGAGAAATCATTCAGCCAGGTAAGAGTCAGGGAGGCAGCCCCAGGGGCCAGTCTCCTAATTGGGTCCGGAGTAACGTCAATGAAATATAGATTTTAAAAGGTGATAACTAAGGAATATCAGAGGGGAAAGTGGGTTAGCCATATGGAGTTAGGAAGAAGCCCAACGTTGTGCTGTTAAGGGCATACTAAAATTAACACTGGCATTTGTGTCTTTTATTTTGAGGATCCAGAGAACTCTGATGGGTGGCGAGAAGCTTGATCACCTGCTGGGACCTCAGAATAGCTTCACAGATTACCAGTACAGTATATTTTGTTATTTAGAAGAGATAAGGCACCTGGCAAAATGCCTGACTCATGCCAGGCAATCAATGGTAGTTATTCCGACTACTGATACAACAGCCACAATAACTATATATAGTAGAAAGCATCAGTTTTTTTGCATGTGCTCACAGAAATTTGTATAATGTAGGCAGTATTAGTGGAGAAGGAATCAAAGCTCAGAGAGGCTGAACTTCGTTCAAGCTGATGGTTGGGAGAAACGAGCAGGCATCCTACGCCTGTAGCTAGATGCACTTTTGACTGAAAGCTTACTTGGTCAAGTGTTGTCTGAGAGACAGAGTAGTCTTCTATGTGGAGTTGCTTTTTGCTCTGGGAGAGGATGCTGAATATCCTGGCCAGAGATGACAAGGAGGATGGAAGCTGATACTGTAGCATGTTTCGATGTTTCTCTTTTAGGACACTTCCTGGGAAAGCAAGTCCAAAGAACTCCTGGACAGGCTTCAGGTCGGGGTTGGAACCCGCTATTCGTACAATTATTGTATAACCATCTCCAAATCTGAAAGCAGGAAACAAAATACACACAAATGGAACATTTGCAGAGAACTACTCAACAGGATACTCAACTCTGAAAATCCAACTTGTACCAAGAAAAACAGAAGTCTCTGGCAGACCCACAGAACCCTGTCTGAGAGAAAGAACCAGTTTTATCTACCAAATACCTAGTTGTATATGGTACCATGCTCACAGCCTTGAATATCAGATTCCATTAAAACCTCAATATAGACCTACGAAGTCTGACACACAGACAAACAGAGCCCAAGGAATTTAGTCACCTGCCCTTGTCCCTGAACTAATTCCCAGTTACGGCAGGGTAAGGATATGAACCTCTTTGTATTAACTCCACAGTGTGTCCTCACTATCATAACATCGCAAGTGAATTATTAAACTTCACTTATATAACTAAATTCAGAATAGTCTCAGAAACTGACCCTCAAAGATGCTGAGTAACCTGCCTACAAACCACACAGCCAGTACATGGCAAAGTTAGAAATGGAATACTGCCCATTCAGGCCTCAAAGTCCGTGTTCTTTTTCCTATACTCTTCTGTTTTTATTTTAAGGTATCATGCATAAACTCACCAAAAACAAAACACAAACAAGCAAAAAAAGAAAACATGGTTTCAAAAGAACAGTACATAAAGAAAGAACATGGGTATGATCATTTTTGTTATGAAAATTATTATATAAATTTTATAAATACTGTATAATAAAAAACAACAACAACAACAAAACCCAAACAAACACAACAACAACAAAACACCAATGACTTCAGTATGTGCTATCCCAAAGAAATGATCCCTATTACCTGTTTTTCAGATGTTGGACACTGCCAAGGCACCTGAACCTCCCATTGACCATTATGGCCATCCTTGTACAAAGAGCTTCACATTCTTCCATACTGTGGGGAAAACAGAATGAGGTTTTCCTTTCAGAGCGATGCTCCTATAAGCATCAGAGCATCACCATGACACCTGGCATTCCGATGAAACAGATCCCCGTTATCCTACTGCATCCCTGACCACGATGGAGCTTTTCTGTCATGTGCCATACAATTGTGAAAAGGTAAAAATCCAGATGTTTACACAAAGAACAGCTGCATAAATCAGAGCAGATCCTCATCAACGACAGTGCAGCTGCAAGAAATGATGGCTCACCTCACTTGAAATTTTGTTTTCAAAACACACGTTACAATTAAATTTTTGTAAAATACCTAAGTGCTTGCTTATAGCTTGGCATAAGAAAAACTCTGGGACATATATAGACAAATGATAATAGTTATCTCTATTCCAGGTGATAGCTGTTTCAGTCTTTTTTTTTATTTTTTAAATTTTTTATAAAATGACTAGATAGAATCCCACCCTATAAAAGCCAAGACTATATAGTACAGACCTATGAGATGTAAGAACTACGGATCTCCCCTCCTTGACAATGCTTAGGGCACAATTCCACAAGAATCTCCGGGCTTTGGGGTCCATGCCTGTGGTTGGTTCATCCTATAATTAGAATAAAACAAGTTTAATTATTTGCTGGAAAAAATATCAGAGACAATTTTTAAAAAAAGATTTATTATCTATTGTATGTATGAGAGTACACTGTAGAAGAGGGTAGCAGATTCCATTGGAGATGGTTGTGAGCCACCATGTGGTTTCTGAGAATTGAACTCAGGACCACTGAGTTCACTTAACCACTGAGCCGTCTTTCCAGCCCAAGATAATTTTTTTTTAATGCTAAATATCATGCTGGGTTTCCCAGCCTGGGGATAGGGGTAGAGACAAATGGATTTCTAAGTTCTAGGTCAGCCTCGGCTCCATAGAAAGTTTTAGGCCACCCATGGCTACATAGTGAAACCCTATAGCAAAACAACAACAAAAACCTCATAACATTTTGTCTGAAACCATTTTTGAAGTCAGAGTAGTCTTTAGGTAAAACTGATACTCATATTTTTCTCCTTGTTCTACTATACTTGCCAATCTCAGAGAAATTTCATATCCACATGGTCAATAAAAATTAAAGCTTCAACCCAAGTCTTCTTCCCATACCCCCAGTGTTCTCTACAAAATGAGGATGAGGACCACTGCCCAGTCTGATCTGGTTTTTATTCATCTGTATGGGAGCAACTATGGTGCAGTGGCTACTATGGTCATCTAGAAGCCATGTTCTCACTTTGACCTTTGGAAGATGAACATATATATATAGTCATGAATATTCCCGAGAAAGATCAAATCACAATTCAGCTTCTGCCACTATGTGTAGGGATTATCTACACATATGCCTGGAGCTTGTCTACTTGGGAGCCTGTGAAGGTACAGCAGAACCTTCCAGAGTGCTTAGTGGGAGAAGCTTCCCCTTGCTTCTCCAAGCCTGCTCTGGGGTCACCAGCAAATTGACTTGCTGTCACCATGCTAAGTACACAAAGGTCTATATGTGACTTCATATAAACCACGCTGTCTATTCAAGACAGAAGAACAGCTTCCACACTCCACTCGCTTATATCCCCCTCACACTCACCAGAAACACCACAGGAGGCCCACCAATCAAAGCCATGGCTGTGGAAAGCTTTCGCTTGTTACCGCCACTGTAGTTACAGGCGTATTTTTCTCCATACTTTACGAGGCCCAGTTTGCGAATTGCCCATTCACCAACCTAGAGAGAGATAAAAAGCATTTTGACCACCATGCTTTCTTACACGTAATGTAGGACAGTTCTCTCACTGAAGGAGACTCAAGTTTCAGCTACCTCTGAGGACCCAAAGGAGGGAGAAGAGACTCATGTAGTAAAATCTGTACTCCCTCCCTCTCCCTAGCCCGTGCATGAGAGCCTCCCCTGGAGTCGGTGCAGAGACAGTGTGAGCAAAGAAATGATCTCAGATTGCCGTCACATATGAAGAAGGTATTCTATATAAGGGTGTCAAAGGAGACAGTCTGGTTTTCTGGCTCCTACAATACCTTGCCAACTTCCTTTTCTGGAACTCCCCTCAAGAGGGCAAAGAACTCCAAATGCTCTCTTCCAGTCAGCAGCTCCGTGATGGCATCGAACTGAGGGCAGTAGCCCATGTTCTGATGTACTTCATGGATATTTGATAAGATGCTGTAAAGGAAGACAGAACCAGTCAGGTTTTAAGTGTTTAGAGACATTCTGAGGAGACAATCCAGCCTGACAGTTCTTTAAAAATGTGCTTGTACAAAACAAATATATACCTGCTTCTGCTCAGAGGAACAGTCATTCTGTCCCTAGGATGTCAACTCTAACAGTAAGGGTCCTGTCTCAGCTCTGCCTAGGTCTTGTTGACTCACAACTTCAACCTGTAGGCTTGGTCCAGCATCAAAATGAGTCTATACAGCTGCAATATAGTCTTTGCCAACAGACTCAATCACACCAATCTGGAACTTCAACACCAAGTCTCCATTGCAAACTTGACTCTGAGCTGGTCATATGTCACAAGTGTCCCTATACTCCAGTCTTCTTCAAGACCATACAGTACTACGTAAGTCCCAGAAATGCTGGGCATGAGCTCTCTCTGCCTTCTGCTCCCCATTCAGGGAGTTGGTCGTAACATTCATGTTCCGGACATTCTGATTCCACTAAATATGCAATGCAGATTCCCATTCATTCCTCTATTTGTTTATTTAATTATAGACCTTCTAATATGGTAATAGGAAAAATACACATATAAATAATTTTATTTATACCTGTAGGGGTGACCTCTAGGTTCTATAAAGCCTGTCAAGCTAACAGTTGCTATTATCTGAAAATTTTGACATTCGTATTCCAGTCACCTCCAGATTGCCATGAACTTGACACATAGGCACAATCCTTTCTGCTTATTTAGTATTCTTGGATTAGCCTTCCCAAGATTTAAAACTAGAGTATCCATGGACACTGTGCCTGGCTCTCTCTCACAGCTACATTGCCCAAGTCAGTTATATAATCAGTAGCTGAGATAAACCTTAGGATGGGATGGTTGTTGTCTTTCTGCATGTTCCAGGAGCTTGGCACTAGAAAGACTGGGGAGTCATCATTATTCCCAGAATTTCTATTCTTTTAAGGCTCCTTTAGATTGCTACTGAAAAATAAGGTAGTAAGAGACAGGAGGAGATGGATGAGTTCATTATGCTCCTAACTCTAGAATAATATTAACTGTGTCTCTAGCCAGTGTTTCTGAACTGTGAGCAATCTCCCATTACTGGGTTGTAAAATAAATTTAGGTCAAAGCCAGCAATTTTTAAATGGCATGATGCAGACTAGAGTATGAACTATTAGGGTACACTATAAGTAGAAACAGTAGGTGGGTGCCATTTTAATTCATTAGGTGTATGTGTGCCTAAGTGTCTGTGTATATATACTACATTGAAATGTAAAATGTATTTTCTATATGATCATGAACAGAAAAGTTCAAAAGATACAACTTACATCTTTATTCATATAAAAAGCCAGGAGAAGCCCCACATCTTTAGAGTATTCAAGGAAAATACCACCTAACAGGTCTCTGATATGTAGCTTTATCCACAAAGATTAGTAAATGGCTTAACAGTGACTTTATCAATTGGTACACACTTTAGAAAGGGCAATTAAACAGATATATGCCCTTTTACCATGTAGGGAATTTTCTGAGGAAATAACAAAAATTATCTACAAGGACATATTTAAACAGTGAATTGAGGAACTAATTAATGCCCAACATTTATAATGAATTGATCAAATAAGCATATTTACTTGGCAGAGTTTCTAGATTTTAGAATATGTAATCCATTGCAAAATATTCATTATAAACCTATTTATAATACAAACTCAAAATCTATATAGACCTGTGCTCTGTTATGACACATTTAAGTGCATAACAGCTCTGAGCTTATGGTTAGCTCTACAACTCAGCTATGATTGTGCAAATCACAAACCTATTCTCTCAGAACAAGGAAATTATACATATGTAAATTATAGCTAAATAATGCTTTATGATAGAGGGAAACTGAAAGAAAATATAAAAATAAGGCTTACTTCCAGGTAGTGAAATTGGAGGTGATTTTAAGAGCTTTTGAACTAAAGTCATTTCAATGTTTTCACAAACTATAGTAATAGGATAGATAGTCAGAAAATATCTGTATATTTCTTAAAGCTGGAGAAAGAAAATCTCCGCAGCAAATACAGGCTGCTTCCTTTCCCACCTGTGTTTGTTAAGGAGAGCATCCCCTCTGGTCACCATGGTATCTCCAGTCAGCATCTTGAAAGTTGATGACTTGCCAGCTCCATTAACGCCCAGGAGGCCAAAGCACTGCAAAGCAAGACTAGGTGAGCGGCAGGAACAAGCTCCTAACTCTCAGTCTGAATGCCCTGATGAAATCCCCTGGGCTTGGATTTGCTTCACCATTGATCCCAGAGCCTCACTCTTAAGTGTCAATGAGTTCCATATTCAGATATCACGAGTGCATGTATGCCTCCTCTGTGTGTGTGTGTGTGTGTGTGTGTGTGTGTGTGTGTGTGTGTATGAGAGAGCAGGGAGGAGAGGAGGGGAAAGAAGAGAATGAGAGAGTTTACGTATGGGCCATGTTGTATGTGGGTATTTTTATAAAGATTTGAGTCATCAAGTTGAGACCAAGGTCAATCTGTAAAGAGCAGTAAAAAAGCCAACTGGTCAAAACTCACACCTATCACCTACCCTGACTAAGAACATGAAAGAAGTCCAAAAAATATGTGAAAGAATAAAATCTACTTTTTACCCTACTTGAAATTCATCCCTGAATGGATCCCCCATAATCTAGATGTGAATGTTTTCTTACACTGCCTGAGAGCGTCCAAATCTGTTCTGTTTTGACACAAGAGGTTCTCACTCTCTCCATGACTGATTGCTTCTCATAGACACAAATAAAGAAGCCTTGAAAAGCCATTTTTCACAGTTACAGACATTGTTGTTTGATTTGGTAGATACGGTCTGAATTAATGGAGACAAAACACAATAGGGCACAGTGCATTTACCTCTCCGGGAGGGATGCCAATGCAGATCCTGTCGACTGCAGGCTTCTGCTTCCTTCTATAGATCTGCAACCAAGGAAACACAGAAATCATGCACCTCCGTGGCTCAGAGCTCTCCCGGTCAGCTAAGGAGGAGGGAGCTCTAAAAGCCACACACACACAGAACAGAACTTATCAAACACCACACACTGGATGTGCTAAGATCTTACTCTGTCTCTGTAATGAATGGCGTTTACCTGATTCCAAAACTCAAAATTGAATTTCTTTTTTATTTCTAATATGAGTTTTTTCCTTAAAAAAAAAAAGACAGTGATATATTTTAAAAGTAAACTATGTAAGGTTGAAATCTATAATAAAATGTTTCAACTACCATAAACTAAAATTTGAGGGTCATGGTATTTGAAAAGGGCTGAAGCAGATTGTCTTTCTGAGCAATGGGTCGTAGAGTTGCTTTCTGAGGCATGAAATTCAAAATCAACTACTTATTTTCTGTAACTTGACTAGACACACAATGTTAAAATGTTTTAATAACTAACATATATGCAAATGTGTACAATAAGTAAATCTAAAGGATGGGAACTGAGATACAGAAGTATTCTCAGTAGGATTTTTTTTTTAATTAAGAAGTCTCCATGGTGTATTTTAAATAAAATTGACAAAGCTTAGTGTAGAGGCACATTTGGGGAAGCACTGGGTTTTGTTTTGTTGTCTTGAATTAAGCAAGTCAGGGAAATGCTAGTGAGCAGAAAAAATGCAGAAAACAGAAGAGAAACTGAGGGGCCCACAGTCGCCGCCTACCTTGGTCAGTTCCTTGATCTCTAGGATGTCATTTTGTCCGCCACCATCCAGAATCCTCTGTCTCTCCCTCCTCACGTCCTCGTCCTCATCATTCAAAGGAGGAAGCTTCGCCTTTACAGGTCTTGGGGAAAAATAATGTTTAAGAAAAATCAATCTTTTCAGCTATTTCCCAAGGCAAAATTCAAGTTTCTAAAGCACTCTTATCAAGCCCACGTGCCATCATTCCTAGGGTGGACAGAGCATGCTCATGGCTGGAAAATCAGTTTAACTGGGTAAGTTCAGCTCAGTGCAGATACCCAAGACTTGTGAGTCCCCTTTGCATCCCTTAGAGTTCTGAGATAAAGCTCACCTGGGCTTGATGAAAAATCTGTACTGGATCAGGACAGTAATAAGGAAGAACACCACCCCTTCCACGGCCATGGCAAAAAGGTTTCGTCCCACCAAGTCCCAAGAGAGTGGAGAGATGAAGCGGTTCTCCCCTGTGAGACACAATGAAGACATCTGGTCAGAGGGGATGCATCAGAATTCACGGCCCTACTTCCTGTTTCTGAGTCAAGATTCCCTTTGCCTGTACATAGAATAGCGCTTACACAGAGAGGGCACTTGAGCTGTGCATGGCTTTGTTGTTTGTATGCTTTTTCATTTAAATTAGTTTATGTTATGCTTAACCTTCAAGGCTAGCTTAGTATAAATTTTGGTTTTGGAATTTTTTTCACACTTGAAGTATTAAAGGACTCCTTTTATATTAAAAAAAGGAAGAAAGGGAGGGAGGGAGGGAGGGAGGGAGGGAGGGAGGGAGGGAGGGAAAGGAAAGGAGTGAAGGAAGGATTTGGGGGGTTAATTTCACACAATTTTTCTAGAAACACCATTCATGACAAGAAGAAAAAAACAGTAACACAGGTGTCTACTTTTGAGGTTTCATTTAGAGAACTATACTACAACCTGGTATCAGGTCAGAATTTTGGAGTAAATTACCATTAGGTCTGTAAGTTCATTAGGATTGCTAAGATTTCCTTTTTAATGAGACACGGCCCCCACCCAAACCCAGACAAATCAAGTCTAGTAAGGCCAATAATCCTGGGTAATTTTGGAGGTCAGAATTTGCTCTAAGTTTTTAAAGTAACAGGTATTAGAAAACACATTCAAAAGATGTCTATTTCTGCAGCATCTAATGTAACCTAGTGACTTAAGTTAGGTGGTTTTAGGATAATATCCCTTAATTCTCCATGTCTCCTCTGTATCACTAAACTGAGAACGTCCCTCTCCTATGTTTTGTAAATCTAGCTCAATGAACCAGGAAGTAAGTAACAGTCACATAATGGCCGGAGATATTTTAACCATGTAGAAGAAAGCTTCAATAAATTATCTCTTTAGAGACTACATAAAACACAATATATGAGCATATCTGCAGGTCCAGGTTTTCTTAGTAGAATCAAAGGGTGTGTCTTTTCTTTTTGAATCTCTGGCCTTATCTAGTTGCCAAAGCTCTGGCTTGATTTTTCCAGTGATTTGACAAACTCACCCAGTGGCATTAGGAATTAATTTCAAACAAATGCCATCATTTTCCTGTTTCCAATCTTCCCCATTTATCTCAGTGCTATCAGAGGCACAGATAAACACCTAGATGATGGAACTCATGTCAGACAGAGCAGCTGCATTGGTATTGGCCCAGGACAGTTGAGAGGACAGACATCCTGTGCCCAGTCCCTTTCTAAAGCAGGAATCAGAGTACGGAGGCCCACAAAAACTATCACACCTCCACTGAAATTTCCCACTGCCTTACTCACCAAACCTCTCCAGGGCATCTGCCATCGCCTGGTTTTTTACCATGTCAATGAGCCCTCGCCCCAGGCAAAAATGAGGGAAGATAAGAAACACAGATTTCAGGATGTCATTGATGTCATTGAGCTTCTGAAGATGACGAAGAGCGGGAGAGAGAGAGAGAAACATATATCACTCATAGTCTAAGTTAAAATTTTATCAAAGTCTAAAATATGGACATGAAGAAAAGCATCTGACTCCCCGGACCCATGCAGATACCAATGAAAAGCAGCAGGATTTTCTTCAGGAGCTCTGGAGTGATAGTGTTTGAAAGTAAACAAACTTCTAACCATGGTGACTTTTAATCAGACAGAAATCCACAATGAAACACTGGCTTAGTGATTTTTTTAAAGCAACTCACTCATATCTAGGTCAATATCTGAGTTTCAGGATTTTGTTGGAATTTCAAAACCATCTTCTCAATGACATCAGAATGCATTATGACTCCGTAAGACAAGGCTGGGTAATTAGAAAGCCACTGCAGCTAGAGATAGGGCTCAATGGTTAGGACGGCTCACAACTGGCTATAACTCCAGCTCCAGAAGATCCAACTCCTTTATGTGTCCCCTTTGGGCATTACAGACATATGGGACACAGATATACATGCAGGCAAAGCACCAATACCCATAATATAAAAATAGAGAAAAATCAAGCAAAGTTGTTACATGCTGATTGCGTTGGGCCAGAACATGGAGGATGTTTACACTGCTCTGAAGGAAGAGCTGGGGGCTCTGACAGTCCAGAGAAAAGAAAGCATATATCTTACTAGACAAATGAGAAACGCTTCACATTAGACTTAAATCTTAAAGGATATGGTAGACACTCTCAGGCCCTGTGATAAAAGAAGGGCATTTCAAGACAGACCTACAGGAGTATGGTGGTTTAAGGGAAAACTCAGCTGAAGTTTCCAAGCACTGGGAGGGGATATGGTAGTATATGGCCAACAAGAAAGGTGCTGTGTGCCGAGTAAGGGCAACAGAGAGTCTTCTTTATGAGACTTGAAACTGGAAGGATTGGACGGATAATATAATAAACAGCATTACACTGAGTATGGGTCCAGGAGAGATATGAGACTCTGCAGGATGTCAGCAAGTAAACGGAGATGGCAAGAGAACTAATAGGTTCTAACGGGAAAGACCATACCAGCCTGTCTAATATGTGGTACCAATAAAATGATTTAAATGGAGTCATCCACTAGGCTGTGAGAACAGGAGAGCAGAGTTCCCAGGGGGCAGTCAAGGCACAGATCTGAGAGATAAAAATGAAAAGCTGCAATGGTGGTGAAGGCCTGAAGATGGAATGGCATCACCCAGAAATGCTGCAAAAATAGGAAAACAAAGCCAGAAGAGAATGCAGTCTCTGCCAAAGCAACACTGAAGAAAAAGAAGTATGAAAAAAAAATCAAAAGAAACAGAAAGACTTGACGAGAGAAATACAAGGCACATCAGAACAGAAATAGAGTGATATGTACGGGCATAGCTTGCAAAAGCCGCGAGGTCAGTGCTGTTGATGTTACAGGCAAGTGGAATAAGGTTAGGGATAACCACCATCCTCTTACACCCAAAGTGTTCTACATTGGGTTACAATGCTTACAATGGGATGTGTTCTACCCGTGACACTCACATTGCTTGTAAAGAGCTCCAGTACAAAAGTGGCCACGCTGCCATTGATGCCAATGAAGAGGTTCACACTGGTGAGAACCACATAGGCAGTGCTGGGGATCTTGAACACAAAGGACGCTGGGTACATGAGAGGAGTAATTGACCACCTGGTAAGACACAAACATAAGCATCCATTGGAGTCTTCTGCCCTCCCTCTAGCATTGGGTACCATATGCCTTGTCTCCTGGGAGAGAGCTACACTTAGAGTTGTCTTACCCATACAGCAAGAGCAGAAGGGCTAGAACAGGCAGGTTGGTGGAGGACACATAAGACTTCTGCTGGAAGCAGATGAAGATGATAACGACTAGTGTAGCAGGGACCACATAATTGCACTGAAAGAGAAAATAAAATTAACCCCTAAGTCAAACATACAACATACCCCAAGTCTTTACCATCATCCAACAAGAAAGGACAGATATACATGTTGGAGAATAACTCTGAATTAATGAAGCCACATAAACTATTAATCAAAATTCCGGACAATACAGTTTGACAAGCATTTTACCCTTGGCTGATTTTATAAACTGCATGCCCTTTCTGTCTTTCCTAGAGCTAAGCCAAGGTGTCACGCTCAGTAAACTTACTGAAGGATGTATTCTCAGGCAGAGTCATTTCAATTTCACAGGAGGCAAATGAGTTTCCATTATTCTACCCAGAGATGATTGTGCCTGTTTCATCATTAATGCTATATTATGGTCTGTCCGTGTTCAATCCCACATGTAATCTACTTGTGAGATAAGCACTCATAACATGAATGTCAAAATTGTTTCATCACACCGGGAAGAATTTTACAGTCTGTCCTGACAGTGCTTCAAGCATTAAAATGAAGAAATAAAGACTTGACCCGGGGACAATTATGAAAATTCATAGCTGGCACAGAGAGAAAGTGAGTGAGAGAGTGAGAGCAAGAGAGGGGGGGAGGGCACAAGAGAGAGGGGGGAGGTGCACATGCATGGAATGGAGGTGATAGTGTATTGCCAGACAGTAAAAGAATGGTAGCTTCAGACTGTCTCAGTCCCACCCTGCTTAACGTGTTTATTAACGATTCCAAGAACGACATGCTTGCAGCAGACTCCAGACTGTTAGGCAGGAAGGGTCAGGAAATACAAAGAGAGTACAAGTGATGTCCCTGAGGTCAAGGACTTGCTCTTCAGTCTCTGAATGCCCTCTGCCTGACACATTCAGACGCCATCAGACATGTAGTGAGCACTCAGTGAATTTTCAAGATAAAAGAAAGCAAAGAAATGCTGACAAGATCCAGTTTTAATAGTAGTTTTAAAAAAATGATTAGGTTCAAAAAGTTGATTCTGTGCATTAGCACAGAAAGAACAAGACAAGACCCTAATTAACAATTCACGTGAAATAGGTTTCAGCTTCGTTACCAAGTAGAAGTAAGTCTGGGCAATTTATAATGCCATACCTCAAGCTGCAGTAGAAAGTATGAGATAAAGATTAGCTTTCTCTAGACTTAGAATCATCAGATCAGAAGACTGGCAGGCCTTAAGGCTTGGCCTGATTAGCATATGCAATTTCATCATCTCCATCATCACCATGCGTATCTGTACAATGTCTTAGAGAATCGGTGAGCTCTAAGATATCATCTCATCTTCAAGAGACGTTTGTTTACTGTGAGTTGCCTTTAAATGTCTGGGGAAATGCTTATTGGGCAAAGAGTTAGATCTGCTTCGGGTACCACTGAATTAATGATGGTCATAAGGGAATATAGTTCAAGTTCATTTGCCAATAATTGGAACGTCAGGGTTCTATGAAGTCATTCATATTGATCCAAACAAAAACAATGCAGTATAGTTGATACAAAACAGATAAACTGCAATGGACAGACAAGATGCTGACACAATTTATGTAGTTTTCGATGGCAAATGACTTCCTTAGTAAGGCAAGAACAAAAAATAAAAACACAAAAACAGAACAAAAAACAGAACAACAAACAAACAAACAAACAAAAAACACCGACTCTAAATTAAAGCACATAAGATAAATTAGAGGTTTTGGCTTGGGTTTTTAATGAAGGTCTTTCTATTGTAGTCTAATTTTTAAGGGGAATGCTGGCTAGACTTATGTCAACTTGACACAACCTAGAGTAATCTAAAAGGGAGGAACTTAAATTGAGAAAATCCTTAAGATCCGTAAGATCTGGCTGGATGGCATTTTCTTAATTAGTAACTGATAGGGGAAGGCCCAGTCCAATTTCAGTGGTGCCAACCCTAGGCTGGTGGTTTTGGGCTCTATAAGAAGAAGCCTGAGCAAGCCATGGTGCCAGGGTCCAACATGTCCTTGATAGGAACAGAATGACATGGTTCCTGCCAGTGACAGGGCCAGTGGACCAGGTCCCACCCAGCTAGCTTATCCTTTGTGCTTAACGGAGGTAGGCAAATCTCTGAATTCAATGTTAAAAGGGACATGTATGGTTGCTGTTCCCTAAGAATCAAAGGACTGGGTCACTGATTCATAGGACAATCAAAAGGGAACCTGAAGCAAATGACTGGACTGATGTGTAAAATAAAAGACTGGGCTTATGATCTGCAGGAGATGCACTATCCAGAGAAGGTTTTAGGATAGCAAGAGAGAACTGCTTGGAGAGTTATCTCAGCAGAGAACAGCAAGAGACAGCTGGAAAGAGAGGGAGAAAGAGAGGGGGGGAGGGAGGGAAGGAAGGAGGGGAGAGAGAGAGAGAGAGAGAGAGAGAGAGAGAGAGAGAGAGAGAGAGACCGACCGAGACCCCTTGTTTCCTGGAAATCTCCAGAGAAAGCAGATCAGAGAGAGAGAGTCCAGAACAGAGAGAAAGCACCTTGGAAAGCTGTCTCCAGCAGAGCCTGGAGACAATCTGTCTTAGAGTCCTCTGTTTTCGCCCAGACACTCCTTCCTCAGAGGCCCTCTCTAAGCCAAAGCTGGTCCATGGCACCAGGAGCAAGCCAGTAAGCAGCATGCCTCCATGGGCTCTGCAGTAGCTCCTGCCTTCAGGTTCCAGCCCTGCTTGACTTCCTGTCCTGATTTGACAGTGAACTGTGATGTAGAATGTAAGGTAATAGTTGGGAATAACTTAGTCATGGTGGTCAGATGGTCCCATTCTGTGCAGTTATTTTTAAGGCTAACATTATGTTTGGTGTCATGGAGGCACTCAGCATCTTCTCCTTTTTCCTAAGTGGGACATGTCCCAGGGTTAGTAGCAGGTTGTTTTTCCTTTAGTCCCACGTCTCCACAGTCCCCACTGAGAGTCACACAGAGATAGAAGGTCCTGTATTCTCACCATATCCCAGACAAAATTGGAAAGCCAGTAGATGACAGGCTTCACGCCGCTGATGAACTGAAGGTGTTTGGCTTTGCTCACACGCTCCTGTATCAGGAACACAACAAAGCTGGCTGGGACAAAGGACATTGCAAAGATGACACAGATAGACACGAGGACGTCTACAGATGTGGTCATCCTAGAAGGGAAGAGGCAGCAAAGATTAGAGGAACCTTTGATGCAGCTGGGGACACAGTAAATAATTAGCTAGACATAAGTACAACCAAAGCACAGCCGGAACAAAAAACTGCAGTCACCAAACATTTTATCTCAGGGGTTCATCTAATTATTTTCAAGTAACATTGAAATAAAAACAACTCAAACGTGAAACCGGTTTGGATAATGTTAAAATGGGTTCACTCCCATAACGAAACTACGGAATACAGTATGGGCATGGCCTAATAGCAGTCACTTGTCTCCAGTTTCTGATCTTAGAGTAGTAAGTTGTAAATTTCTATATACAAAGACGGTGTGGCTTGGGAACTATTTCAAATGAGGAAGAAATCTAATCTGGAAGCTAGTCATACAAGTTAATCATAGGGCTAGAAGTAAGCGGAAAGCAACAGGATACATATATCAGGCAAAGACATAAAAATCATATATGTGTGTGTGTGTATATATATATATATATATATATATATATATATATATATATGCTATGATATCGTATATCATATATATGCTATTATATCTGTATCAGTCTAACAGTCTAATATGTACAAAAAGCCCATTATACAAAGTTTTGTAAAGATCCTGATGTTCAACATTAATATTCTACAGCAGTTATATAGTAATATGCCATTCCCCACATCAAGAGGGGATCTAATATGCTGATTACCAACTCTGTGCTGGGAGCAGGTTGCAGAAGTGTATACAAATTACCTCATTTAATATTTCATACCTAGGTCTGGCAGTGGTGGCACACGCCTTTAATCCCAGCACTTGGGAGGCAGAGGGAGACAGATTTCTGAGTTTGAGGCCAGCCTGGTCTACAGAGTGAGTTCCAGGACAGCCAGGGCTACACAGAGAAACCCTGTCTCGGAAAAAAAACACACACACACACAAAAAAAAAAAAAAAACCCATACCTAGGAAGCTTAGACACCAAGTTCAAATCCAGATTCTTTCATTTCAATACTCTATTGACCTTAAAACTTATGGCCATGTACAGAATTCACACGCATATGTGTGCATCATTCACACATACACATATTTCAAGAAAAAAACTATTAAATACATGTTTTGCTGAATTTAAAAACCTCATTTTCAAGCAAATAAAATATTAACAGCACTTTAATTACTTTTGGATTTCACTAACAATTTTAATTCCCTATATGTGAGTTTATCAATGTGATGATTTTCACAGATCTGGTCTTCCTTCTTCAAGTCAAGAAAGATTGCCAGCCAGTCTGTAAACTGATCCTTTTTTCAACCCAGGCTCATACAATATAATTATCTCTAGCTGTTACAACCAGCTTTGCAGTCTTTTTCCCCTGGTGCTCGGTTACCCCAAGGCCTTCACTCCCATCCATTTAGACATACTTACAGAGCCACCTCCGAGAGCTGTTGCTTGGTGAGGTTCAAGGGATGGTTGAAAGCCGTAATCCCATACTGGCTCAGGTTCTCTCCCTTCTGTAGGTTGGCCCGGAGAATGGCATTGTTGATGACATTCAGGAACGAACTGATGGCATGCCAGCCCTTGTTATTGAACCATACCTGAAGTAAAACAGACCAACTTCAAGGTAATGCTACCAAACCATGCTTCCAAAAGTGAGTGTATATACATAAAACGTTCATGGAAACTTCAGAAAGAAATCCCACTTAGTGACATACCAAACAAAGGTATATAGATGCAGGACCCACTGACCACTGGTCATGGGACCAGTGCTAAGTGAAGACTTTTACACTTTTTACACTAGTTACCCACACAGAGTTAGAGGCAGCCATGGTTGCCGCCTCCCTGCTACACAGGAAACGAGCACTTAAACAGGTTAGGTAGCGTAAGGCAAAGACCACAGAGGCTCACGTGTTAAGTCTGATGGCAAAACAAATTCTCTTAATCACTATGCTGTATCATCACTGGTAAAAAATAAATAAATAAATAACAGTTTGCTCTTTTCTATCACAAATGTCCCTAGCTACTACTGGAGCATGAGATTTCAAGAACATAGGATTACTGTTTAGCAAGAAGCTGAAAGAACATAGACAGGGGTGTACCTTGACATTGCTTTTGGTATCCAGTCCTGTCATGAACCTTCCCAAGCTGCTGAGAAACCGATCTGCAGAGCTGTCCTGTAAACAACAGGATTCTGCCTCAGTGGTGTTAGGTCACACAGATAAGGGGTGACAGTAAGCAATGAGACAGCCCTATGTAGATCAAGGTGACTTCCATTTGATTTGTGAAATTAAATCTAAAGCCATTACATATGTGGTTCCTGAGCACCAAGTACCTAGAATCCACAGTACTGATGTTGCCATGATGTCACAAGTCATGAAAAAAAATCACACACACACACACATACAGACATACATACATACATACACACACAGACACACACACACACAGACACACAGACACACACACACACACACACACACACACACACGTATAACCTAAATCCCCAAGATTCTGGAGCTAGAGATGGATCAGCAGTGAAGAATATAGTCTGCTCTTCCAAAGGACCCAGGTTCAATTCCCAGCACCCAAATGGGGGCTCACAGCCATCTGTAACTCCAGTCTCAAGGGAGCAAATACACTCTTCTAGCCTCTGTGGGCACCAGGCACACACAGTGTAAAGACATGCATGTAGGCAAACCACCCATACTCATAAATGAAAATAAAAAATCAAATTTCCAAGATTCTTCAGAGTCTCTTGGCATCATCTCAAGAACTAAAACCCAGAGGACATGCACATGTATCCTATGGCTTAAGTGTTCTAGGTCCAGCACTCCTGTATGAAACCCCAGACCATGCTACCTGACCATTTCAACATGGGCAACCTGAGACAGAAATAAATGTGGGTTTACCCACTCTTAAAGCCTAGCTGACCAACCTAGAAAGTAAATGAACTCATTTTTCAGATTTCCTGTCTAGTCAATGACTGTTTCAGGAAACTGTTTGAAATTCATTTTATTTTACCCACTGGCTAACTTACCAGCTTGGCTGTTGTAAGAGTTTTTAATCTCTGAGTTAAATTTTTACTTACACTTTCAGAAACACACTAGTGCACTCGTGTGTGTGTGTGTGTGTGTGTGTGTGTGTGCGCGCGCGTGCGCGTGTGCACGCGCGCGTGTGTTGAGTACACATTGGGTACAAGAAATCAGGTTTATCAGAATAGCTTTGAATACAAACCTATTCAGACCACTATCACTACTCCTGTGACCCAGCAATTCCAGACTCATTTTTGACATGTATCAGGACTGATGCTGTACCTTGGTCAGCTTCAGGAGTTTCTTCATTTTCCTGATAGCATCATTGACTTCTTGGCTTGGAGGAAGACTCTGAGAATTACTGACACCCAAGGAAAACCCGCCATACCTAAAAAAAAAGGCTTGTCATTAAAAGCCAGACAGTGTACCCAAGCCATTACCCATAGCCACCTCTTATTCAAACTAGAACCAACGTTTGGCTAAGATAGTTACATGTTGGCTCCTCTGGTGAAATCTAGCCATCTTAATTCTTAAGATTGCTGCCCAGTAGGGAAAGCCTAGAGCTAATGACAAGATGTAACGCATCCATGTCACAGATGGGAAGACAGGAAGATGGGCAGTCTTGAAAGCCAGGTAGGGATTACAAACAGACCTTGTCTTCCCTAGCATTAAGTAAGCCTATGACTGCTCTCCTCAGAGAGCCAGGAAATGTGACCCAGAAAAGGCAGGGTGGAAAACTGAAATTTGAGGTCTTTCGAACAGCCTCATGGGCCACTCATGACTTCAAGAAGGTTTCCTTCCCTACTCTCACCTGTTACATCAAAATCCAGAAAGGGAAAATGGGTAGAAATATGGTGGAAATAAATGCTTTGATGCCTTTCCTTTCCTCCAAGACACATCTTATGAAAGGCCTGAAAGGTTTTCTTTGAGTCCCTAGACACCCTTGGGAATCTGTCTGGGAAAAATACAGCTAGGATAGGTTTTCCTTTCATGACATTTTACTTTCTTAAGTCTCTAGAGGTCCACGAGAGATTTCTGAAACTCCTCAAGGAAATCACAATATCAAATATTGCAGGGGCCTCTCGAGTTAAGAATGTGCTACAAATCCCACAGTAAATCTAATAACTCTGACTGAGCCCTGGTGTACTCCACAGGTCTGCAGCACCTTAGTCCCCCTCACGTGAGGTGACACCCAAAAGTGTGCACATGGCAAACAGTCCCCAAACCTATAACTCTGTCTTGATCTAGGATTCCTACATGAAAATCATTCTCCTGAGACTTGAAGTGACTCATGGAGAAAGGGAGTAAGGATTGACTTACCGAAACTCATTCACCCTGACCTTATTCCTTAAGCTGCAGGAAGAAAAGAAAAATCAAAAATCAGGTCTAGAAAGCACAGGTCATATTGATAATGCAACAGTAATCATCTACTTGAGGACAAAACAGAGACAGGTGATCCTATAACTAGGCCTATAACCAGTGATGTAGAGTTGTACATGTGTAAGGAAGGCCACCTTCAGCATGTCTTGACTGCTGTCTTAGAAACCTTACTCTTATGAGTAAATTAAGCCAGTTTAGAATCCACCTTATAAACAGGCACGGTGGTACATGCCTTTAATCTCAGCACTGCACTCAAGAGGCAGAGGCAGATGGATCTCTATGAGTCTGAGGCCACCCTGATCTATGTAGAGAGGGTTCCAGGCCAGCCAGGACTAATGTAATGAGACCCTGTCTTAAACAAACAGATAAATAAATGCTTTACAGACCCAGAGACCCTGTCTAAAACAAACGAACAGACACACAAATAAATGCATTACAGACCCAGATATTACTGAACTAAAAGCTGTTTGTTGTGAATCTTGTGTGGGAGCCTATTCTTATTCCAGCATACCCTCGTCATTTAAAGTTAGTTCAAACAAGGATATGACACCTGACCATATTGACGGGAAGGAAACATTCTCTGCACACCAACTAAACATTGGTCACTATATGGTCATGTCCTAGGAATTGACAAGTCTCTTTTAAAGGCTCCATATGCAAGAAAAGCTACTGTGTCTACCCTGACCTTGTTTCTAGAGCCATCCAATGAGAGAGGACCTACAGGTCTTTGTTTGTATCATTTCTCTTAGCCCTCACCATGAACTTAAGTCTGCAACACTAATACCAAAGGTAAAAAAATAAAATAAAATTCACATAAGTGAAGACTTTATGAGACTAACAGGTCAGAATTCAAATCTGAGTCCACATTTATCACTTAGCTTCATTCTAAAGCAGGCAGTCTCATCCACTAAGCTGAACTTTTAAGGCTCACAAACCCCCATATCATCTTGTTTAACTGATATAATATGCTAAATTTCCCACAGAACCATGATCATCCATTTTCCTACCACTCAAGTCTACATATATAGCAAGCCAGGTTTTAACAATAGATACCTTTTTGCTATGATCTGCACGTACGTCTTCACCAGGTAATCTGAAATATTTCTTCCAGTCAGATTCTGAAGGATGTCTGCGGTTTTCTGTTTTCTCTGTCATCACATAGAAACCAAGCTCACATGTCTTACAGGTAAGAATTAGGGCAAAAAAAAAAAAAACAGACAAAAACAATGGGGATCCCAGGGCCCAGGCAAGACCTTCAGCCAGCCACCACCAAGACCTGGCCATTCTGCCATCAGCACCTATGCCATGCCAAAATCATCCCCAGGAAAATATTCACGAGATATCTAGATGGGATTCTTCACATCACCAAAATACTAAGGGAAGAGCATTATAAATTGTCCAATGAATTCTTTTGTACATTGGAATTTTATGTTAGTGACTGTACCAGCTGATTTTAAGGTGGCAAACACGATTTAAGTTTGCACACCCACTAAAAATTCCCTGTCACCATCTTCCAACCTAGATTCTGATAAAATGGCACAGAGATATCACGATTGTCCTGAAGTTTTCAGGGGAAACAAACAAACAAAAACAAAATAAAACAAAACAACTCAGATCTCCCTCCAAACTTCAGAGCCCAGAGAATGTTAGAATTGATGAGATACACCTAAGTTTTGTGGTCCATTTATTCTGAACTGATAGCAGGTCCAAGGAATTAACACAACTCCGCTGTGGCAGAATCAGGGTAGGAAGCTGTGCCTACGGATGCCCTGTGATAGGCAGTGATACAATGTAGTTCACACACTTCTCTGAAAACCCACTCGCTTTTCTCAAGAGAGATAAAGGCAGAAATAAGCCTGACATCACATCTCACTCACTCCTGCTGCCACACAGAGGCTACCAGGCCCTACCCTGAGCCAACTTCTCAGTCACATTGACAGGGACTCACTTGAGGAGGTGGCAGTCCTCCTGCCCCTGGGGGACACACAGGCAGCATCTTCTTGATTTTGTCACTGCTACACTGGCATGTAGGTGAGGGGTTCTTCATTGTCCAGTTCCCATTTTGGAAGACATCCATGATGGTCTTGGGAACTGGGCTGATGGTCCAGTCCTCCTCCCCATCCAAGCAAGGGGTGTCTCTGTGAAAGGACATACCAAGCATTGTAGGCTCTCCTGAAAACAGCTTGTCTTTCCTTCCTTGATGCTTTTAGAGCACAGGTTTGCTCTTGAGTAAGGACCCATGTGCCTTCCCCTATCACTTGAAAAACAGTTTGACTTCATTATGTTTGCTTTCATAGAAGCCTGTGGAAGCTGGGGAATCACAGAAAACCCAGGAAGTTAGGACATGAACAGGCTCCAAATGTTCACACTGAGCACTGTTCAACCCAGGTAACCAAAGTTTGTTGACACAAAACACAGGAAGAGTCTGCTATGTGCTGCACAGTGTTCTGCATCTTTGAGAGTCTGGGGAAAGCAATACAAACTCTCGGCCTTCATGGGATTCTTCATGGCCAGAAAGTGTTGGACAACGAGTCAACAAATTCAGTTTTACACAACCCCAGATAAAGCAAACAACAGGATAATACATGGAGAAAGCAGACCTTTAAATCTGCTTCAGCCAAAACATAAACAAAAAGCTAAAAAATTGGGATAACGGGCTGGAGAGATGCCTCAGTAGATAGAGGTACCTACAGCCAAACCTGGATTCAATCTCCAGATCTGGTTATACTCTGACCTCTGCACATGTATCATGACATACATGCATACACACACACATACACACACAAATAAATAAACATAATTTTAAAAGAACTGGGAAGAATAAGCATGCCAGGCAGCAGCTGTGGTCAGTCAGATACAAAGGCCCTGCAAAGAAATGAGTGCATATAATTGATGAAAAACAAGAAGGTCATGTGACGAGCTCTAACACAGACTGATGATCAAGAAGAAGAGAAAAGGAGGAAGAGCCGCACGCACGACACAGTCATGGTTAGGAGCTTGTATTTTATGCTCAGCATGTTGAAAATCTTGCAGAGAATGGCAAGATCCAATTGATGTTCTACAATGAGCAGAGAATTGTGGAGCTGAGTGGAGTGGGAACGTTCCCTGTATGAAAGGGAAGGTTGTCTACGAGCATCCTCAGAGATAGCGCGAGGCCCTAATGCCTGCCTAGAGCCCTGAACTGTTTGGTGCGCATCACAAGTCCTTTGCAATCTCAAGGTTCATTTATCCCTACTGATAAAATAAGAGTATAAAATGACTTGACATTTCTAGTTTCTCTTCCATATTTCTAATTTTCAAGATTCCACAATTTAAACTAGAAACACAATCTTTATATCTCACATCTGTGCACATGCAGATAGGTTTATAAATATGCACACAAGTGATTTTTTTTGCAAATAATTTCTCATTTCCTCTTTAAAGCCTCTTCCCTAAAATATTTGCCCTTGTGAAACTCACACCTAAAACCTTTAAAAGACAACAGGCTAAGACAAACTAAAGACCACTTAAAAAAGAAACTTACTCGAAATTCTCTGTCCTAATGGTCCCCAGGCACCTAAAATTTGAATTTCAGTCTGAGGTGGTGGGGTGAAGCTTTGCCTTTCAGGCCGCTTCCAGCGGAGTGTCCGTGGTACACAGACAGCACACATACCTTCTGATGTCAAGGATATCTCTTTTATCTCTGCAGGGCAGCTGTCAGCTCAGTTCTCTCTCCTATAGATCTGGCCTTTGCTGAAATCAATCCACGAATCCATACAGCTCAGCTCACCAACAAAGGACCTAGCTACCCAGATTATCATCTTACCTCATCCTTCTTTCCTACAAAACCTTCACATGGAATATTAACTTTTTGGTGAAGTCAAGAAGAAATCTAGTAAGTACTAAGGATATTCGGTAACCATCTGCTATGGTTTGAGTCTTCAATATTTTCCAAAGGCTCAAATGCTGAAGGCTTGATCTCCAGATCGTACTGCTACAGGGTGCTGATGGAGCCTGTAAGTCATAGGACCTAAGAGAGGTAAGTTAGGTCACTGGGGACATACACTCAAAGGAAATCTTGGGACCCCAACCCCTTCTTTCTCTTCCTTTACTCTTTTGCTCGGCTTCTATGATATAAGGAGGTACTATATTGTAGGGAAGCACACATTCCCTACCATGATGTTCTACCCAACTAGGGACCCCAAAAGACCCCCCAAACAACACAGCCAATCAACCACGGACCAAAAGCTCTGACCCCACAAGTCACCAACAAATCTCTACTCCCATAAGTTGGTTTTCTCAGTGACAGAACATTGTCTAACACATCGTCTGATATTGTGGTGGTTTGAATGGTCCCACAGGCTGATGTTTCACTACTTGATCCCCAGTTGGTGGAACTGTTTGGGAAGGATCAGAAACCATGGGTTTGTTGGAGGGGGCGTGTCACTGGGAGCAGACTTTGAGATTTGCAAAGACTCATGCCATTCAAAAGACTCTGCTTCCTGTTTGTGGATCAGGATGTGAGCTCTCCGGTGCTGCCTCAGCACACCCCTCTGCCACTGCCATGCTCCTCATAATGAGGGTAATGGACTCCTATCCCTCTGGAACTGTGAGCCCCCCAAAGCCCTGGTCATGATGTTTTATCACAGCAACAGAAAAGCAATTAAGCAAATACTAATTAAGAGCTGATAAATACACAGAAATTATTCATCTCCAGATCTGCTAGGTCTTATATAGACATAGCCATCATGTTCAGTGCTCTGACACAAGATCTGTCATCTTCCCCTTCACCATTTAGGATTCAAATTTTCCTTTCTGGACTTCTCTATCACCTTGTCGACTCTCCACAGTTCCTTAGCTAGCACTCACTGCATGTGCATGTTGACCGCAGGCGCATTCTCTCTGGACCTGCAAACTTGAAGCTACCTCTAGGAGCTCCAGCTCTCTCCTCCTCACCTCTCTACTGGTTTAACCACAGTGTCCCCATGACTTGCTTCTTCAGTACATAGAGAGTCAACTGGGCATATCACTGAGTTTATTTACCTACTATTTAAAACTAGTTCTGATGGTCTGATGAAAATATGCAACTGCATAACAAAAAAGTGTCTGTTGTTATAAAAATACAATCGGTATGTCATCTCTGTTGGTTAAAGTAAAGAAACTGATAACCAAAGCTGCAAACTGCACACTCTGCCAGTCTACTGTAGCATGCAGATATGGAAGCTGGGGTCAAGAAGAGAAGGGGAAAGCATTTGGTTAGTAAGTATAATGTGATTTAAAATCAACATCTCAGCATAGAAAGCAAATGTCAGTAATGATTTGCTATACAGGATGTTAGAACAGACTATTTGTTCCTAAATTGATTTGGTTATCCCCTGGCTTTTTAAAATAAAAAAATGACTGAAAGAAAAAACTGACAGTCGTCACAATGAAACAAGCAACACCACCAGGAAGAAAACCAGGTGGTCATCATGAGAAGGCAGCTCATGATCTGAAGTGTCACTCACGGGATTGGGTTTCCCTCCATACATCGGGTCCCGAAGCCTGGATCTTTGGTTAAAGCATTCAGGAGTTCCTGGGTGCCCATGTCCTCTGGAGCATCATTACTACAGAAACACGAGAGATATCTGGATCAGTAGTTCATCCAAACCAGGAAAAGTTTTCTACAGAAAAAACTCTACTAAGTACTTTCTGAGGAACAAGCTTCTAAAACTAAAATAAATAATATACTGAAATCACCTGCAAGGAGCTTCAAACATCTGGCTTCAGAATAACATACAGTACCCCAGGGAAGCATGTACAGAGATCACACGTGAAGGCATGCACAGATATACACACAAATGCATATGCACTTCATTTGAAATAAGGAAAATCATTAAGAATCAGTATTTCAAATCTACTTTGACAATTATCATTTGACACTGACAGCTAGGACTTTCCAAGAACAGACAGGAAGATTTTATTGAGTATTTGTATGAACAATTAAAAAGTCCAAGAAGCAATGGACCTAGATAACAAACCAGCGTCATGATCTATAGCTATGGTCACTACTAGGCCATCGACTGGAAACAGGTCAAACAAACTTTTAACTCTAGAAGTTGAAAGTGAACTAGAGCAAAAGAGGCTAATAAACGATCTATATGTGATATATACGTATCCTACACTTACATATACAGAGACAGATCTATATATGATATATACGTATCCTACACATACATGTATACAGAGACAGATCTATATATGATATATACATATCCTACACACACATGTATACAGAGACAGATCTATATATGATATATACGTATCCTACACACACATGCATACAGAGACAGATCTATATATGATATATACGTATCCTACACACACATATACACACAGAGACATTTTTCAAACCTTTTCAAACTTCCCTCTCTATCACTGACATTTTCTCCCATCTATAGACCTACCAGTGCATCGGAACTGAAGAAATCCTGTACAAGGTCTAGAAATTCTCCTATCTTCTGATTTTTAATAGGATCAATATGGAATAGGAAGCATTCTTGCCTAAAGACGCACACTTAGCTGACATCCTAACTTGAAAGACTTAAACTGAATTAAAGCATATCTGGTTATTCCTGACAACACGAGCCTAACAATACAAGAGGAAATGCCCAGCAGAGATTCACCTGTATTTTCAAGTATCGTTTACTACTGTTCTTTGCTACAGTAGTGGCTTGTACAGGAGCCTGAACTATCATGAGAACACCCCTCTCACTGCAGAACTGTGAACTCTGACTCCTCAGCTCTCAGTATCATAAACACTGTTGGTCTGTTTCCACCCTCCTCTGCCCTGAGGCACAGAGGACAAACACATACCTGACAAACGTATACTGTTCATTATACATCCAGGGCTGAAGTTCCAGGCTGGGGTACTTGCCAAAGGGTGGTACAATCAGGCTGAACACCAGGGCAACGCAAACAAAGACAGCTGGCAGGACAATCTATAAACAGGCATTGGAGAGAAAAGAGACAACAGGATAACTTTTTAGAAGCCTAAGGAGCAAGCCCATGAAAGTCTAGCCAAACCCATAGACCAGCAACACAGGAATGAGGGATACAGGCAAGGCCCAAGGCTGAGTGCTACCAATGTATTTTTGGCAGCTAGGAAGCAAAAATGACTAAAAATTAAGCCTCTTCCTCCCAGTGTATTTCCTGAAGCTAACAGCACAAAGACAGAGGCTACGGTCATCTAACAGAGGCACAAGCTAGGAATGTCACGGAGTAAAGGGTCAGAGTTACTGACTCTTTTAGGCCCAACCCTTTTTCCCCTCTAAAGACTGAGAAAAACCAGCCTGGATCATAGACTCAGGTAGAAGGCTTAACAGCCCTGGACTGAGAGCCAGAAGACTGAATCTTGGTTCTGTCTCTACTGCAGGGGTCCTATGTGACATCAGTCAATCTGAGGACTGAGAACACAGAACCAACTCCTCCATTAGAAGCAGCAGCAGCCAGTGTCTCTCCTATGAGCACTGTGAAAAGCATAATTATCTAAATTCTTCTTTGAAATTCCCCAAACTTTATATAGCCTTTCTCTGAAAACAACACAATGTATGGGTCAACTAAAGGATCTTTTCATCCCTTCCTGAGAGATTTACCCTTTAAAAGTTCAATGATCCAATGATAACCCTGGCTGCAGGTGTAACTTGGTAGTAGAGAACTTGTCTAGAGAGCTTGTGCACCCTGGGATTCCATCCCCAGTGCCATAAGAATTCAAACAGTAACTCTGATTTTAATATTCCTGGATTTTAATATAGAAAATTATCACTGGAAGAATAATTCTACTGGAAAGTACTGTAGTGAGAATGAGCTCCTTTAATATCCTATTTCGTGGTTATTGGTGGTGTATCATTGTCACCAGTCACAAACTAGAGCATTATGTATGGATCAGAAGGAAGTCAGCCAGTGATTCACTGAAGCAGATTCCAAATCCAGGTCTGCAGGCTTCGCACTCATGCTCTGAATTAGTGTTGCCCAGGTGGTCTGCAGGGAGGACTCGATGGACATGTTCTCTATAATTCTTCATTTTGTAGACGAAATAACTTTATAGCTGACTTTAACTCATCAAGTCAGCACACAAACTGTGACATGGGGGATCTGTGTGCCAGTTACATTCCTAGCTCTCTCGATATCTTTTCCATCAGCTAAGTGTCAATTAGAGAAAAAAACCCACCATGTGTCTAATAATAAGTGCACTGCCAAGCACAACTCAGCATGGCAACCTTCATGTTATGAGAGTTTAATCTGCCCAACCGGTTTTCTAAACTGTGTCCCTTTCAAGATCTCCCTTAAATCACGCCTCCCTCCCCAAGTAATGTCAAACTCCAATCGAAATAAATTCATTTCATCCATTTAACAATCACATATCATGGCTCACTTTCAGATGAAGAAATTGAAGCTCAGGGAAATCACTGGAAATCACCCAATAAACAAATGACAAGAAGCAGAAGTATATGGACATGCAGCTAATCTGGTCCCAGTATGTACATCTTGACCACAGTCCATCATGTCTTCACCAGTCTAAGAGCCTGCAGTCTGCAAAGGCAGACACCAGCACATCTCACCTGAGCAAAGAAGCCTTTCCTGCTCCGCCGGGCAATCAGCAGTCTTTTCCACAAAAGGGCCACAAACTGCTGCTGGGTGAGTTTCCAGCCCTTCAGCTGATAGGAGCCTTTGCCATCCATCCCGCTGAGCAGGTCTGTCTCCCTGGATTCTATAAGCAGCAAGTATGGAGGGTCAGCTACAATCCCACCTGTATCTGAATGACTCTATTCTTTCCTCTGCTATCTTCAGCAGTCATCTTGGAAGCTGGGGTTTGAAGCCTCCAGTACCTCACAGAAGTAAACAGTTTTCTTGAAGAAGCCACATTTAAGAAAAGGCTCTAACTCAAAGCTGTATTTCTAACATGTATGCTTTCAGTCCTCATCTGATGAGCACAAAAAAAATGAAGATGTCTTAGGATAAGCAAAGACGTGCTCACAGACAACAGGAACAAGCTGTTCCCAACTCCATGAATTGGGCCATGTAGGCTGGCACACAATGGTTATTAGTCTTCTATCTTTTATATGCATTGTAAAAAAGTGGACACACTTAAAACATCTAAGTCCTGACAACAAAACATGAAGTAAGAACAAAAAGCCAGACCATAAAACCAGATAATTTTCTGTCCTCACCAAAACTTGTCTAGAAATTCTGGTCTGAAACCAATGACTCCTAACTGAGGGCCCTAAGATGGTCTATAATATAATTTGTTTCATTTCATACTGCCCTTGTCCATCTCAACCACATATGGACAGTCATCAAAAATATATATGCCAAGGAACACAACTTCCTCTTTTATCCCTTCAAAATCCAACACCCATTCAATACATTGTCATTCAATGCTTAAGTGCTTAGGTATGCAAGAAACTGGGACCCTACAGAGATGACAATGAACAGACAGGTTCAGCGGATGGATGGGTCTTCTTATACCCATCGAGAAAACTTTCTATCAAATGAAGAGATGAGGGTGGGCTTCTTCATGTTAGACCAGACATGTCACATTAGAAAAGGGGCTCTCTCATCCTTTCCACTTTTCTTTGGAACCTGTTAGGATCTGTGATCTTAGCCAAAGGCCATCAAAGAGATAGCTAAGAACCACATAAAAGACAAACTCAAGTTCAAACAATAGAACAAAGATCCTGCCCGTGCACACCTGGGTCTACGTCAGAGTCATTCGGATCAATAGCGTCGTCTTCTGTAAATGGGTGCAGACAGCTCTGCTTGTCCCCAAAGGCCCGTCTGTTTCGTCTTGCTAGCAAAGTACCATCTAAATGGAGAAAGAAGGGATCCCACAGTCTATTTATCTGTAATATAACAAACCTTCCCAGAGCAAACCCATACACTAAAAATGAGACTGAATCAGACCGATGCAAAGGGAAAGGTACAACAGGGGTTAGCTCCAACAGCCTACAGAAAGCCTACCCACACAGTGTGCAGCCCACCCAGCCATGTTACCTGAGGTCTCAGCATCCACACCACTGTCTTCGGCCACTTTGAGGAATATCTGAAAAATTAAGGCAGGATGCAGCATAAGTAAGCACTTGCTTTATGAAAGAAGTTATCACTCCCCAGATTACGTTACAGAATCCCACGTTAGGCTCTTAAAATAAAGAGGGTGGAGAGCACATTAATCACTGAGAATTTCATCAGAACCACTTGAGAGAAGCTGTTTGTGGTAGAAAACATTTCCTCACGTGTGAGAGCTATCAGTCCAGACAACTCTTTCCAAAATAAAGCAATGCATTATGTCTGTAGAAGAAATTCATCCTGAACCTACCGAGAATGAGGCAAGTCACTTTTATCAGGTATGTGTTCCTAGCCCTTTGAGTAGGACATTGTGGTTACTCATCCAAGACAAATGGCCACAAGGAAATAAGCTTCTTATCACTAGAAATAAGTATTATAGTAGAGGGAAATCTGAATGACGTCACTGTTTTCCAAACCCGCCTATAGACCACTCTGTAGGACGCATGTGACAGAAGTTCAAAACCATGCCTCCAGAAATCCTGACTCAAAGGTACAAGACAGGAGCTAGAACCTCTACTGTCATCATAGATGACTCTACTGCACAATCTACCCTGGCAATCAGCCAAGCCACTCAATGTTGACACCCGTCCCAGGCCTAAAGGCTTGTGATGATGTATCTCTAAAGAGAAGCATTGCTACTCAGTAAAGATAACCTGGGCTTTGAAGCCCCCAAACTCTGATTTATAATCTTAAATCAACATCATTATTAATTCTCATCCTGCTGTGATCATTAAATGGAGAGACACGGGTATACTGCCACTCTTTAGGCCATACCCCACACCCAGGAGCAGTCTGCTAACACAAATAGACTCAATTTGTCTTTAAGAGAGAAAATATGAAGTTGGGTAGGTAGAAAGATGGGGATGGGGGATCTGGAAGGAATTGAAAGAGACCATTAATATATCTGGAATATATTCTCAAAGAATAAGCAAATATATTATTTTAAAAAATAAAGTACAGGGACTGGAGAGATGATTCAGACATTTAAGAGCACTGAAAGAGAGCCTGGGTTCAATTCCCAGCAACCACATGGTGGCTCACAACCATCTGTAATGGGAGCCGATGTCCTCTTCTGGTGTGTCTGAAGACAGCTACAGAGTAAGTAAATCTTAAACAAAATAAAATACAAATAATAATATAGATTAAATAATAAATGATAATAATAGATTAAATAAACCTTAAACAAATAAAATACAAATATAACTGATGATGATGATGATAAAATAAAAGAGGCCAAAATTTGAAAAAGAGCAAGGAAAAGTATAATGGGGGGATTTGGAGGAATGGAAAGGAGAAATGCTGCAAGTAAAGTATCATCTCAAACAAAAGGAAAACACCAAAATTATCAAGTTCAGCACCTGGTTCCAATCAACTGTCCATAAATATCAGTCATTTACTATGTGTGAGCACTGTCACCTGGACACAACACTATTCACACCAGGAAGCAGTCCTAACACTGCTGTCTCTCACTACCTACGCTCTTACGTGCTTTACTGGGGCTAACATTCCCCAGATGCCAATGCCTTAAACTCCCAGTAACCAACTCTATAACCATCTTGTTGCAGGCTAGGCTGCCTTGCTGGCCTTGGGATTGTTGAGCTTACTTCTTCTAGCGTGGTCTCTGAGATGCCGTAACTGGAGATGCCCAGGTCTGAGAGCCGGTCGTCAATCTCATGGAAGAGTTCCACAAAAGCTCCCTCCTTAGCGGCTTCATACGGCAGCACATAGGTCAGTTCATGCCCGATGTCCTCCACCAGCCGAGCTTCAGACACGTGCTTCCTGATGAGGTTGGAGATAGCAGAGACATCTGCAGGGACCAGAGTGTGAAGGTGCTCGGTCATCTCAGACTCCACAGGAAGAGCCAGCTTGCTTCTCCCTTTCCCAAAAGCTCAGAAGCACCACTTATATATACCACACGTCCCCAGATGCCAAAACCCATTGGCTTATTCATCTTTGGCATGAGAAATTCCAGGAGAGCAAAGACTGTCTCTAACTCATTCTTACATCACGAAACCTAGGCACACTTATAGGTATCTGATGGATGGGTGCTTTGTATCTAATGTGTATGTATCTCTTCAACAGAATGAGTTTAGAAAGCATAAAAGACCCTGCCCTTCTGTAAACTTTCTGATAAGGCTATCCATGATTTACCTCAGGAGATGGCTAATCAAACAGTTTGTAGGAGCAGAAACCTTCCTGGAAAAAGGCAGCTGTGGGAACTGGATAGAGACAGCCAGCTCTATATTTTTATTCCATATGCCACTGGTAGTCCTGGTCTCTCATAGGCACTGCTTGAGGGAAATCGAAATGCCATTCCTCATCTCCTGGGCTCTCACCTTTCTTAGATGCTGAATTCAGCTCCCTTCCTACTGGCTTGGCCCTCCACATCTCATCCAGCATCTGGTTGAATCCAGTCCCCCACCCGCCAAGGTATTCCCCAGACTCCAAGTCAGGTCTGTTCTCTGGAATACAGCCCTCCCAGCCCCAAGACCAAGCCCCATGCTCCCCAGCAAGTGTTAGGCCAAGCCACCACACCAAGCTGCATTCACTCCCATGGCCACCCAGCCCAGCCCAGCCCAGCCCAGCCCAGCAGCAAACCTTGAGTCAGCGCCACCAGCCTCTGCACCTCTCCTCCTCTGCCTCCACTCTGCCCAGCTGCGGGGAGCTCAGGCACCACCTGAATAAGAAACCCCAGAATGCTTACCGATGGTCAGCGTGTCACTTTCATGGTCGCTGCCCAGGCCAGCATCAGAACTGCTCTGAGAAACACTGTCCTCCTGATGACAAAGAAGGAGGTGAGAACGGGTCAGGGGTCAAACCGGGCATAGCCACCACCACCTTTGACGGATAGAGCATCCAGGAAGTTCTACTGCATAAAACTAGAGCAGAAAGCTTTGCCTGGGAAGTGTGCAGCTGGCAGCCATGGCTTCAGAGGCCACTGCTGCCATGTGTGTGCTCTATATGGACGGCCTCACTGACTAGGGTGAGAGAGGCCAGCAAACTGAGTGACTGTTAACAGAGCTGTGGTCACAGATCAATGCTGCCATTGGTCATTTACCAACCATCCCAGTGTGGGATTTACCTGACTGCTTAGCTAATTTAATGCTTCCTCCATGTGAATATGCATTCAGTCACTTGGACACCTTATTAACATGCAGATGTGGATTCAGTATGGTCTGAACAGGGCCCAAGTCACCATGTTTCTAATGAATTCCCAACTGAGCCTTCTGTGCTGGACTTCAGACCACACTTGAAAGACGAGGCGCCAGTAAAAAGAAAAATAAACAGATACAAGTTCAAATCTGGTGGGAGTTGGGGCAGGTAGGGGGTCTGGTGTGACCGACCATACAAACACATCTCAGACATGCAAAAAACAAACAAATCAGAAACCAGATCCAGGATTCTGGTCCTAACTGTTATGTACTTGCTGGGAGACTTTGAATATGCTACAAATTCCTACAAGCCAATACTGTCTTCCCTGGGTTGCTCTATACTTGAAAAATATAAAATATAAAAACAGAACAAAAATGCACTGATATCATTATTTTCTCCTAAACCCACAGGCTATACGGGAGGTGGGATAAAATCAGTACACAGTAAATATTTGATGTTTTATAGTTTCAAAGTCAAGGTCAGTAAGATTTAAGGCAATAAGCAGGAATGGTGGGACATCTTATAGCCAAGGCTCCTCTTACCTCTTGGCAAGTTCTCTTTTCTTTGATAGAATAAAGTTTTTAAAGGACTTTTCTCCATAACTCAGGGCATTTCCAGAGGGAATATAAAAGGGGCTGTACCAGAACTAGTGTAGTGGAAGCAGAGGTCTCCTGGGCCTCCCACACAGGAGCCATGATGCACTGCAACAGGTCCAAAAAGCAAGGGGAATGTTGCCTCAATCTTAGCAGCGTGGGGCACCGGTATACAAGCCATCTAAGCCCACAAGCCCAGGCTGCCCAGCCCCCACACCAGCCCTGCCCCAAGATGGCTGCTCACCTTTTTCAGACACGACACAGTGCTGCTACTGTTTCTGCAGGAACTGAGGGACGAGTCCACATCTTTCTTGACCAGGGTCAGGTAGTAACCCGTTCCCAACTGGTTTTTCAAAAACAGGGAGGAGCCCACGCAACACAGCTTCCCATGGGAAATAATGGCAATTCTGTCCCCTAGGATGTCTGCTTCATCCATGTGGTGTGTAGACAAAATAATGGTGCGGCCTGCCAGGCACAAATACAAGTGAGACTTGTCAGTTCTCACTGATCATAGTGGTACGTATGACAGAGATGCCACATATGAGAAAGACATGGGGAGGCCTTTAACCTCTGTAGATGTCACCCCACGATGGCACGGCTTGGGGGACAGCAGTTTCAATTGTCACAAAGAGGAGGGCAGTATTTATTTGGGATCCTGCTCTATCGAGTGTGCTAAGAAGTTTACAGACAGCCATTCCCCATTAGTCAGGGCCAACATGAACAATGGCACAGACTAACTACAACACGTATGTGTATGCTTATATCTTTTCTGCTTTTCTGGTAGATCCTTAAATAATGAAGTATATGGTTTAAGAATCTTGCAAAGCAGGACAGAAACTAAGCTTTAAGGAGGCTCCAAACATTTCTTGAGAAGCAACTCTTCTACCCTAACAAAACCAGCTACGGTTCCCAAGAGCCCTTCTCTATCCCAGGTCATGACCCGAAATAAGTAACAGCATGTACCTTGCCGGTATTTCAGCAGAAGCTCCCATATTCCCCTGCGAGAGTACGGGTCCACACCTGCTGTGGGCTCATCCAGAATGACAACCTTGGATCCACCCACGAAGGCCAAGGCCACAGACAGCTTTCTCTGCATCCCACCTACAAGACAGAGCAAGACACATCCTCAAATGACTGGAGACAGAGGTGGCGAAAGATGACTGGAGGTACCCACCTGGAGACATAAAGAGGGATAGGCTTCCAACACCCAGGCTTGACCTCCGGGTGTTTGTCTGGAGAAGGAAGGAAAGGAAGAAGGGAAAGGATGGTGCCCAGGGCTCACCTGAGAGATGACTTGTTTTGCTTTTCAGCTTACTGGGGGGTAAGCCAACATCCAGGGCCATCTGCTCCATCTCTGCTTTCACATGCTTCTCTGAGAGCCCCTTCAGGCGGGCATAGAACCAGATGTGCTCTTCGACAGTCAGCCTGAAGGAAAGAGAAGCAGGTCAGCTCGGGGCCCAGCAGGATCTAAGTATCTTGGCACAGTTTTCTTCTCTTCCACACCATTCTTGCCTTTAAAAAACACCCAATTTCTTTAAAAAGGTAACCAGAAGGAAGAATTCTTGGTACACAAATAGTGAGCCATACAACAGAACATTTATATCCTATAGCCAACAGGCCTGATCATAAGATACTGGGCCGTTAAAACTTTAAATTCCAGGTTTTTGATTCAGTTTTTTAGTGACCATGTTGGCTCAGCATTCACTAGAGTGAATGAACCTCAATGGGTCTCAAGTTCTAAGTCTAAAGTAAGGGAGGTCCTGGGAGGCCCTGGGAGGCCCAGAAGCTGAAACCACTGAATTTAGATAAAGGGACCTTAAGACCTACAAGATGGAAAAGCTTTGCCTGCAGTCGGAGGGCTCAGAACATTCTTTGTTCCTCCACTGGAGAGCTCAAGACTTCTTCTGTTCTACTACCAGGACTCCTTGAGGATCCTACTTACTGGTGGGGCAACCTGGGTGGGAGCAAATGACTTAAGCAGGGAACACAGGGTCATTGTGCCAAGAGTCTTTTGAGGTTCTTGTACCATGCCTTAAGGAATATGCTGGTCAGTCTAGACAGAAACTAGAGTCACTCAGGAAGAGGGACCCTCAGTTGAGGAACTGCCTCTATCATATTGGCCTGTAGGCATGTCTGTGGAACATTTTCTCGATTAGAGGCTGATGTAGGAGGGCCCAGCTCACTGTAGGTGGTGCCATTCCCTAGGCAGGTGGTTCCGGATTGTATAAGAAAGTAAGCTAAGTTAGCCATGGAGGGCAAGGCTGTAAGCACCATTCCTCCATGGTCTCTGCTTTAGCTCCTGCCTCCAGGTTCCTGCAGTGAGTTCCTTCAGTGATAGACTGTGACTGAAGAGTTTGTAAAATTAAAATAAACCTTTTCTTCCCCAAGTTGCTTTTGGTCATTGTTTTATCACAGTAACTGAAAACAAACTAGAGTAAGGAGGAATGCATCAGAAAGATGGCTGAGCTAAAACAACCAACCAAACAAACAAACAAACAAAACACTCCAATTGGAGAGCATGGCTTTCTAAATCCCATCAGCCATCTGAACTGATGATACAACAACTTTTTCTGTGATATCAAAAGGTGACTTGTCACTGTGTGTCAAGAGAGGTAAGACCTACCACTCCATACCCAAAGAAGGGAAATTCTTTAGTGATACCCTACTCAGAACACCAGGACTCCCAGGTCACAAACAGGCGATGCTCCCTCCTCTCTGTGTGCTTCTGCTACTCACATGTCAAACAGCACATTATGTTGGGGACAGACTCCCAGGTTCCGCCGGATGGAGCTCAACTCAGAGCGAATGTCCTTCCCCAGGATGTAGGCAGTGCCAGAAGTTGGGGGAAACAAACCAGTCAGGATTGACCTGAGGATAAGAGTAACAGATTCAAGAATCAGGAAGACCCAGCCTCACCATTCAGGGCTGCAGAGCAAGGGCAAGGAGAGCAGATCCCACCACTTGACACTCTATCCCCTCCAATCTAGTCTAATCTAACCCAATCTAATCCAATCTAATCTGACAGATGCCCACAGGGCAATGAGGCCATTTGCTTTAGTGAGTAGCTAAGCATGAGCCTATGTCTTAGAAACAGGAGTTTGCTAGGAGCATCTGAAAAAAATGACACTCTTAATTTGCAACAGGATGTGCTCCTTAAGACATATTTTGTATGCCTAACATCTTGTACATAAAAAAATGAACAAACAAGAACATACTGCTAAAAGATAGAAATGTTCGTGTTGCATAACAGGATTTCTGAGTATCTCAGTCATAGTCATAACATACTGGTTTTGTGTTGAAGAAGAAAACCTATCACTCACAAAGATCAACCTCTGGAATAGCAGAGAACCACACTACAAACCATAAGCAAACCATGGTATTCTCTGGCCCTTCCTCTGTCCTTAACAGGTCTCAAAGAAGACAGAGGGAGAGAGCTGCCCAGGTCTTCTCTCATCTGCTTGGAGACAGATTTTCTGGGAGTGTCCTTCTTCCTCTAGCTTGTTTAATCTTTCTTTACAGTCTCTTGCTTCAAATCTCTGAACCAACAAGTTCAGAAACAGACAACCTCAGATTCCAAGAAAGCTGAGGAATTCTGAGCATTGCATGGGAAAACTTATCAAGAGGTCCCTGCCTGTTTTAGACTAAAGGAAAACCACCTAGCAAAATTTAGACCTCAGAAAGCATGCTCATGATTAAGTGATGTTTCTTCCCATCATACTCCACTCTTAGCCCAGTGACCAATTCAATTTCCCTAGTCTATGTTTGTAAGTGGGGATTTCCTGTGGCAGATCTTAGGAGAGCCACACCCTCTTCTTACATGGTGGTGGTCTTCCCTGCTCCATTGTGGCCCAGGAAGGAGGTGATCTGGTCCTCATAGAAATTTAGTGCCAAGCCATCCACAGCAACCTTTTTGCCATCTCGGTAAACCTTTACCAGGTTCTGAATGGATACTCCCAGCTTCAGATGAGTGGGTTCCTCTTCCATGCAGACTGTGATAAAAGAAAGGAGACAAAGATGATCTCACAGGAAAAACTTACCTGATCAGTAGAGTGCACATATACAAGTGTACGCTTAGACCTCCAGAAGTAGTTTCTGTCCATGTTCAACCTTTAATGTTGTAGACAAACAGAAGATGAAATATTTTAGGCCCCTTGGGACACTTGCGCTGCCGGTAACAATGAACTTATGAAAAGAACATTAGTCTGTTGAAGAAAGGCTGCACAAACAATTAAAATACAGGATGGCAACAGACATTTAAAAAAATATCTAAACGTGTCATGGATGTCCATATAGTATTATGCAATACTACTCATTAAGAAAAAAAATGAACTAAATATAAGACAATTTGAGTGGATCTCAAAAGAATCAAACTAAGTAAGAAAAAGATCCACCCTCCCTCATTCCCCCAAAATCAACTTGGCCTTCATGTGGGTTCCCAAACAACTGGAGCAGGGGCTATCCCAAAAGCTGTTGCCTGTACGTTGGATATGTTCTTCTAGCTGGGCTGCCTTGTCTGGCCTCAGTGGGAGAGGAAGTATCTAGCCTCAAAGAGACTTGAAGTGCCAGGGTGGAAGGATACTCAGAGATAAGGGTATACTGATCAAAATATACTTTCCTAGAAGAGGGGAGACAAAAGAACCCAGACAGGGTTCCCACTAAGTGTGTGGGACGGCAATAGAATGGCTCCATTTGGAAAGGACATACTGCACGGGATTTCTCCAACCTGATGGAGGCTTTGGGATAATGTTAAATGCGGGAGGCACGCCCCACTCAGGCAGGGCAGCAGTACCAGGTGTGACGGAGTGCTGGTCAGAGGTACTTACTTTCTGACGCTCCCTTTTGGCGGGACCCAGCGTAGCTCTTCTCATCAATTTCCTCACCAAACCAGTAGGACTTGGTACAAGGAAAATACCAGGGCCTAGGAATTCCATACTGCCCTGAAAGCAAAGCACAGGTAGCCCAGGTATGACCCAAACTGATGCAATCTCAGTGTTTCCGATGTTTCCTAGCCAGATCCTCTTTCTCCCTGACACTCTCTACAGAGAAGAAACAGACTGGAGGGAGATAGCTAACTTCTCATGAAACCTACTGCGCAGATCATACATTCTGCAACTCTCCATGGCTTCCCAACAACTCCCCAGGTGGTAACATCATCCTCATTTTAGAGATGAGCAAACTGAAGGTCAAGAAGCCCTCTCAACCTATATATGCAGATTGCATGGTCAATGGAGGAAGTTCAGATATGGGTTTAAAAAACATTACAAATGGGCTTCCCTGGAGGAGAGTCAGAGGGTGACCATGAGGCTAACTTCCCCCTCCCCTAAAATATGATCTCAGACAGAAATGTATCCTAAAGAGGGTTCCTGTTGTACTTGGCAAAGAAGGTTAGGAAAGCATCAAAATTAACTGTTGGTAAATACTAATTTGCCTTAGACCACGGGTAAGGGCTAAGACCCAATGTATTACATTATTCATATTCTGTAGTTAAGAGACGGACATTCTCCTAGGGCTTCCTCTTCTGGGGACATAGACCTAAGAACCCAGTCAGGACTGAGAGGAACCTGCCAGACTCTGGCTTAGCTGAGCTGAGGTCATCTCCAAAGCACTGATACTTAACAGACACATGACCCTTTGGGCAAGTCCCTTAACTTTTCAGTTAGATCTCTCTTTTAGAAACTGTTTACAGTAGCCAATAGCCCAGAGTAACCTTCCAAATCAGAGTCTATAAAGTACTTTCCTCAGTACTTACCTGGCACACTGGGCTCAAGAGATGAGAGGCACAGTTGTAGTAACACATATGCTTTCAACACAGGTGCCTTTCCTTGGACTATTTGTTTTTCACAAGCTTAAAGCCCAAGCCAATTCCCAGGAGCTCCCTGGTCCTTCAGCAATTGCAATACAAAGAAAGGAAGGACCTATAGGCAGAAAGCTGCTTTCCCCATCAGTTGGCCAAAGCAGTATGGAAGCTTGGGGTACCTGGAAAGACTGCTTCGATGTACCACGTCATCACGCCATAGAGAAAGGAATCAAAGAGCATCATAAACACTGCAGTGGTGAGATTGAAGCCATCTTCCTCTACCGGGCTCTCAAAGAAATTGTCCCATTGGACCCCGATGCCTTGCTCCTCAAAAAGGGCGAAATACTCACAGCCAAACCCGAAAGCCACAGGAGACAGCAGGCTCTGAGAGAAAGAGGCAAAAGGAACTGATCGACATCCTCGCCTCTCTCATTTTTTCTCTTCTGATGTAAATTTCACCTTGAGAAGTTTGACTTTGCAAATTACATCAATTATAAGGCACGGAAGTATTTTCCTAGAGTCCCTCTGGAGAAGCAGACTCTCTTGCAGCATATAAAATGATTTCATTTATAAGCACTCACTATGCAGACATGTTTCAGAAATGTATGCATGAGAGCAGGTGAGACTTTAGAACTGTACGCTTCCCAAGATATTACAAGGCTCAAGGATCCCATCCTCCGTCCAGCCTCATACTGACACTCATCAAGGACTTTTTTCACTGATCAGTCATTGAATATTCAGGATCAGAGAAGCCACTTTAAGGCTTCACATCTAAGAGACTCAAGCCTTTGGCTGGAGCATGCTGAGAGCCTACTAGTATCTCATCAATGACTCAGCAGGGCAGGTAGTGCTTGGCTCTTACTGGTATTCTCACATGCTTAAAGACTACACCTACGTTGCACACAAGGCAAAAATGTCCTGGTCAGGGATCTGTGGGAGGGTAAGTCATGTTTGGTTTTGTTCAGTCTGGAAAATATTACCCAAGTCAAACCAACACAATGGATACAAGAAAGACAAGGGACAAGAATGAACCATTTGTGGCCTCAAGCTGTCCATGGACATGACTTTGCTGTGAGCGTTTGATGGCCAAGGAGCTAAAAGATAATGAGTGGCCATGGTATCTACTGCCTAAACTAGACATTCCCCAATGTCATTTATCTCCAACCAGTTCAAGGCACAATCTGATGAACTCTGACAAAAGTCAAATCCAACCCAGTATTTACTCAAAGGGCAAAAGAGAGACAATTTAGTAAGAGGAGAGAAGAGAAGAATTATCCAGCACCCTGGGGACTGGGGAGCACCAGGACTACAACCTTTACAGAGAGATCAGTTACTTACAGCAAAGATCTTGATGGAGAAGCCCACATAGTCCTGCCAGGCTACACACAGCACATAGGGCAGGTACATCGTGAAGTACATGATGCCCCCACAGGCTGCTGACAGGTTGGTCCGGGAGAAGAGCGTGCTAATGAGGAAGCACTGTAGGATGGTCACTGTGGCAAACACCATCAGGAAGACGAACACCACACTGGGGTCACTATAGGGCAGCAGGTTTCCAAACTGGAACGGAAGAGTCTGGATAAATGTATAGCCTTGGCAAGCCTGGCCACTCACTTACATAATCTTAATGCTGGCTTTTACACATAATTCTTTCCAAGTTAATGTGGGGGAACCATGCTGCTTGCTTTTCTGATGAGAAAATGGAGCCCATGAGAAATAACTTACTGGAGAGACCACGCATGAAAAATCACAGCAGAATTATGGTTAAGGACAAAGTCCAGGACTTCCTACTTGATCCTAGTGGATAATTTTGTTCTCTATCTCTCACAGAGATAAAGAAATTTGGCTTCTTCTTGTCTAAGGACAACTATTACGTCTAAGAAAAAAGTCATGTGAGACAACAGCCCACATATCCTTTCTCTCCAAAAGCCTAGGAAAAAAGCCAGGCAACCTGAACTTTTCTCTGGTAAATACAAAGTGTTCATTCATACACTCATCTAAAGTTTTGTGTATATTCTGAGCTTTGAGCTCATTGGCAGTCACTGTGGACACTGAACCAGGCCCTGTCAACACATAACTGACTTAGTCAGTTCCCACACACTGGCCACAGGATCCATCCCCTTGTCACAAAGCTTAGGTCCTTGCCCTCAGATACCAGAGCATGAGAAAAGAGTTTGTTTCAGAACAACGTACAAATAAATCTTGGTTCTGTCATCCTTGGGCATGTTAGTGAGGCTCTGACTTTCCCTGAGCACTCAATGGGTTATTGTAGGGAGGATACGCTGAGGCAGCTCACAGTGTGTCCTCTGACCAGTGCTTGGCATCAGTGAATGCTCAGATGTAATACATAGCAGCTGGTATTAAGACGAATGCTACATTCTCTTGTTTTGCTCTCTTGCTTTTTTAAAAAACACTAACTCTTGTAAGAGGCATCTTTGTATGAAATAACTGTTGAAGCAAAAGAGATTAAGAGCAGACTTGTGTATAAGGCAAAACTTCACTGCCCAGACTCTGGTTTAAGGGAGGGCTTACTTGACTATAGGTAAAAGACATCCAGATGTTAGTACCTCTGTTGTCATAGCTAGGAGAGCCAATATGCCCTGGAACACCCCTTTCCCTGGTCAGTTCAATGAGCCCCCATCCAGTGACTAGCTAAATGGGGAAGAGGATGTCAGGCCTGGGGGGTAAGAATCTGGACTTTTCAGCTCAATTAGGGAAACTCTTGGATAAGCTGTAGGTTCTCCAGAACACCCCACTGGGCTATTAAATCATGGCTCAACTCCTCCCTCTGCATGACCCAGCATATGCTCCATCCCTCCAGATACTAATCCCTAATAAATATCCATATTCCAAAGTCTGCCTCAGCCTCTTCCTCCAGAGAGCCAAGCCTTTAGTAGCATATGACTTTCCAACTGCTAAGTTTACAAACTTGGAAATAAACCCTACCTAGTACCCCTAAGGATAAACTCCCAAGTTACACAGTGTGGTACATGTAAATTTGTGCTTCTCTAGAAGCATAAGCCCTGGGTTCTAGCTACTTAGCTACTAACTAACCCAGTGGGTTGACTGGGGCAAGTCATTAGTTCTCTCTGGATTTTCCTCAATTCTGATGGAGGGAAGCACACATGACACAGAAATCCCTTTACCCCTGAGCTATATTATTAGGTTAGTCAAGAGTGCCTTGTCAAGAACAGTGAGTGAGTATACCTTACCTTCAAGATGATCACCAGCAGAACAGCGCTCACAAGCAGAGGGATGAGGCTGCTAATGAACCAGCTAAACCAGAGGATGCCATTGTCCAGGCCCATGATCCGCATGGTCTCCTTCAACCGAGCCTCCTTCTCATAGACAATGCCCTTGATGATCACAGCCACAGAGTAGATCCAGGCCAGAGTCATGAAGAGGGGCATTGACCGACTCATGACACGTAGAAAACTGGAGGCACAGAGAAAAGGCATGAGAAAAATGAAAGTGTAAGCCAGACATTGATCCAAGGTCTAGCATACTGGAAGGGAAAACCACATCAGGGTCACTAAAGAAAGGCCTACTGACTCTCAAATGACCAAATGTTTCATTAGCAGTAGACAGAGATAAGAACTTTGGCTTCGAGAGTATAGCCATGCAAAATTTCTTAAGGGGCTCACTTTAATAATTAGGAAATGGTTAGGGTAATATTAAAATACAGGGTAATTTACTTTACTAAAGGGCAGGGGCAGAATCCAACTTGGTCTTTCATGAAAGGTCAGTGTCTCTAGGGTCTCCTATTGACTTGCTTTCGCTCTCACACCATGAAAAACATGCACATATACACACACTCTCTACAAGGACCTGGTGATCTAAGGAAGATGTTGGCTTGTTGGTACACTCACAGGTCATCAACATAACAGGGGTAGGGCATCTGTTGCACATAGACACCCGTTTTCTTCTCAGTTCCTGTCAGCACTCTGATGACAGCCTGTTCCACCACATCCTGCAAGTAGGCGAAGCCACCCCAGACATAACGCATATCTTCAAAGGGGTCAGCCCGGGGACCAGGGTCCCAGTACCTGAAACCAAACATCAGGTGATGAAACACTCATACAAAGCACATCCTGAAAAATCCAATTACCCACAGTTCCCCAACACTTCTTGACTACTCTTCCTAGTTTTCTATCTCCCCTTCTTTTCTTCTTCTTTTTTTTAAAGATTTATTTCTTTTATATATATGAGTACACTGTAGCTGCCTTCAGACACACCAGAAGAGGGCATCAGATCCCATTACAGATGGTTATGAGCCACCATGTGGTTGCTGGGAATTGAACTCAGGACCTTTGGAATAGCAGACAGTGCCCTTAACCACTGAACCATCTCTACATCCCCTCTATCTCCCATTCTTATCACAGTTGACAAGTACATAGATTCTTGGATATAAATAATCACAATGGACACACTCCTTATGAGTATATTTTTCTTTTCCCTTCACTGGTGACTAACGTTGCATCTGATAGACATGCTGGAATTTCCTTATCAGTTGCCAGCCTCTTCTTATAAAAATATATATGACTAGCATGGAGACCCTAACCGCTTTCCTTTCTTTCTCCTGACTTTTAAGTCCTCTAGGTTAGTTTTTGAACAGGAACATAGAAAAAAAAAGATTAATAATTTATAGCCTTTGAATAACAGTCCCCAGCAATGGAACTTTACCAAAGTCATGCCGCAGCTGATTTGTTGTTCACATTACTTAATAAAGTACCACTCGTCATAAAAGTCATCAAAATTACATTCTTGAGCTTTGCAAGACTGACTGCGTTTCAACTTACCCATCCTTAATCTTATTAGTTCTTTCAACGTTGTCAATGTCCATCCGGATCTTGTACTTTACGTGATGGGGCAGCTCCACGCTATCAGGAGTGATTCCTGTGAACACGATACCAGCCCAGAACTTCCTCTCATCCAGCAGCTCCATGGACTTGCTGATGAGCATGACTTCTGTTGGGATGGGCTCCAGCTTGTTCAGGTTGACACACTGACAGACGGAAAGAAGCGTCATTAGAACACTAGCTACAAGAAAGACAAGTGGTGGCCAGAACTCAGCCTCCTTTGAGAGGCTGGAACTAGCTGCCTGAATTCTTAATCTGTACCAACTACCCATCTCTAAAGTAGTTTTCCAGGTTTCAGCCAAGCTTAGAACTGAGACTTCAGTGAAACACTGAAAGTTATTTGTATTGCTTTCTGTGAGGGAATTATTCTCTTAGCAATTTTTATTCTCAGCAACATGTTTTAGCAATGTCAAGTCCCAGCAACTAAGCAACTGAAAATCAGATAAGAAAAAAAATACTAGTCAGACCTTTTCCTTTCCATCATTTTTAGGATTAAAGATTTAAAGTTTTATCTGGCCCAAATTAGATTAGATAAAGTTTCTTAAGTAATGCCTTTATAATAGCACAGTTTATTATCATTAGGATCTAGAATATCTCAACAGAGGAAAAGCTAGAAAGTAAGGGATAGAAACACTGGAGTCAGTCTGAAACAAAGCTAGAAGTAAGCTTATTCGCTCATTAGGCCATTCATCTAGTGTTTATCTTGCTCACCAGGCCTGCAGGATATAGCTGTACATGCTACTACACATTCATTCCAAGCACTCCTTCTGCCTATAACTTTATTGCAACAGCTCAAAGGAGAAAACCCCCCCTGTCTTTGCTAAAGGGTGTGCACAGCAGACCCTCACCTCCATGAATCGAGATATCATCTGGATTGCCTGGTTGGTCTCATTGAAAGCTTCTCTCCATGTATACACAGAGCCATTTGAGGAATGAACATCCTCTGGGTTCTTGGCCAGAAATGCCATGATGTCTTGGGCAGTCCAATCTAATCCATTCAACTTCTGCTCCCAAAACTGGTCATTGCCTCTGCTGTCTAACAGCGTCTGTCATTCCAGGAAGAACATGTGAACAGTGGTCATCAATTTCATGGTAAGAAGCACATTTGACAAAGACTAAAGTTTGACATGATTGACGTTGGCCAAGGCTAAATGAGAGACAAAGTCGGACCTCTGACTTTGAAGTTCACAGGCTCCCACTGTACCAGACAGCTCGGGTTGTTTTAACTCCAACCACAGTAATACTAGTGTGCAGAAGGATCTACAGGCATCAGGACTTACGACATTCCAAAAGGGTGGCTTTGATACTGCCCACCTTACAAAAAGGAAAGTGGCACTTTGGGTGATGTTAAGGTAGCTTAGGAGCGAGAAAGCAAGGCTGGAAAACCAGCATGGATTCCAATGTACCCACTGCATTGTGCCATCCTCTCTTTTGAGATATGGTCTGATGATGCCAAATAAAAACACTGTCTCTAGACTGAGCCCACTTTTAATGCTTAGTTCAGGGAAGTAATACTGCTGGTCAATCCAAATAAAAGATGGTCTTTCCTAACTCCAGGACATTGGGATCATGAAGACCTGTTTCCCATCACCTGTCAATGTGAAAAAGGTAAGCCATTCTGGTCTCAACCAACCAGTCCAGGGGGACTGGGGCAAAAGTCTACACAGATTCTCCTATGTAAATAGATCCCTTGTGAAAACCACCACATGTTTATAAAGACTTGTCCCTTAAGAACCAAGAGCTGATGAACAACTACAGCCTCCAAAGCAAACTCTTGATTTAGAAGCAGAAAAGCCCAAGCATGGTGGTTGGTGTCCGGGATTTCAGCTCTGAGGAAAGCTGAAGCAGGAGGATGGCCATGAGTTTGAGGTCATCTGGGGTACATAGTGAGTTGCAGACAAATCTGAACTACACTGTGAGACTCTGCTTTTCGTTTTGTTGCTGTTGCTGTTGTTTTTAAAAAGTGTAGGGACACATCTATATACGCCAAACTCAATTAAAATTCTCTTAAATCCCTTTACTGTCAGACACAAAACAATCTCAAGAATTAGAAATATAGATGCCAAGGAAACAAGGCCTAGGATCCATGCTGCAGTGTGTCCTGTGGGAGGATCCTACGAATCTTTCAGAAGAGAAAGACTGGAGCTCACAGGAGAACAATGTACCACCAGTGTCAACTTGTGCCATGACTCAAGGAGAGAATGTCTAAAATTGTTGTTCTTGATTTTCTCACCCAAGTTCTGTGTGTATAAAGGTTTCACGTTAAGCACTCTGCACGGGTGTAACAGCACTGGTGTATCAAAGGAGGCTCTGGTTCCTTCATCTCCAGATGCTCTTTGATCAGTTACCTGTCACCCAAGGGGTCCTAGAGTACCCCTAAACTCCCAAAGAAGTACAGTCTCTAAAAACTCAACAATCCTCAGGGCACAAAGGTTCAATTCCAGAAACCTGGCAAAAGTCCTCCCTTGCTTCTTAATGGCAGAAGAAATAAAAAGAAGTGGTCTTCCTTCCCAGGGCAAGAGGAAGTCATCTAATAACCTTGACTGAGGCTCAGACCCAGATGAAGTGGTTAAATGGTTCTCCTGATGATGCAAAGGAGACACAACATTCTCGGGCCGCTCTCCCTTTGAACCTGATTACGTCTAGAGCATGTATCCCTTTCAAGTGGCCCCCACATGTTAAGGGCAATTCCCTCCACTCCATGGCAGTGGCTGAGGTGCTGTATTCTCTCTGTGCCTGGAGAACCAGTATCCCTGACCTGTCTGAGCACCAGATCACACTTCTGTTCCCATACCTCCTTCTGAGACATGGCAGGCTAAGGAAGATACTGTGCCTACCTTGGTGACTAGAGCCCAAATGAAAATACACAAGTGTCCTGCAAGCACCAACCTCTACTTCCAATTTCTGATCCTCATTGGGTTTTGTACAAAGCTGCTACTGGACCATGAGAGACAGCGATGCTGGCATACTCAGGGCTATCACTGCATGGAGGCTTTTGCCTCTACAGGAGTAGTGTCTGTGTGGCTTCAACTAATCTCAATTGCTTTAACTTACAGAACTGTTATCTCAGGGATTTCTGGGAAGATGTTTAAAAACCTTTTTCAGATAAAGCACGAAAAGCGAGTAGAGAGTCGCTCACCCGGACAAGGTCCATCTCTTGGCTCTCCTCCATGAAGGTCCAAATTTGGGGGCTAAGTTCTTCCCACATGCCCTCCAGGTCATGGAACACAGCCAGCTCCTGAAAGGTCTTGTTCACCTTGAGTCAGGTAAGGAACCAGAATTCATATAAATACAAGAGAGGCAGAGGCAATGAGCATTCCAAGGTTCCTTAAAAAACATCACCCATTACAGAAACCTCTGCCCAGTCCTTTTCCTTCCTCAAGAAATCCCTCCTACAGCTGTAATTCAAACACTCAGGGCTGGAGGTGTGGCTCCCAAGATTACATGTGGATTTGGTTTGGTTTGTTTTTGAGTATTTAAAAAGTCCCATTGCGGCCAAGAGTATACTCAGCACACTCTATCTGAAGCTGCCTTCACTTCCTACCTCTCATTCTGTGGGGAATTCCGGGGACAGAGTCCTAAGCCTGGACAGCTTACCTCAGCCATGACCTGTCTTGTAGCTGGTGTGTCAGGTGTGTAGAGAATCTTTCCAACAAGCAGTGGTTTGAGTGCCTTCCAAATAATTCGAGAAAGAGGACTAGACTCCAAGTTCTTCATCAAATCATTGCAATAAGGAGCTACGAAGAAGACAGAGGACAGACATTCACTTCTATATCATGGCCACTTCCCAACAGGAACTTAGTTTTGGGAGCCCCGACACCAGTGCAGGGTGCAAATCCCCCTCCCATCCATCATCGAACCGTCATGCAGATGACTTCCTTATCTAAGCCTCAGTTTGCTTGGCTGTAAAACAAAAGTTCAAAAGTTCATACATCCACTTAGCAGAGCTACGAAGAGGATTAGATGAGGTATTTCTAGTGAGATCTGTACTCGGCGCTCGAAATCAGACCCTTTCTTAGACTCACATCTGAGCTGATCTACAGGAAGGTTTTGACTATGCACACACCATCTCAACTCTAGCTCGACACCCTCATGCCAGCCCTCACAGTGCTTCTCACTGAACACAAACAGGATTCTTCCTGGAGAAACCAGAGGGCTCCATTTAGACTATAGTTTCAAGAAAAAGCCAAGTATTTCCTTAGTAATTATAATAGATCCTATCACAAATAATATTTATATTTAATAAAAATTTAAAACTGAAATATCCAAAGTTCAAACGGACAAATGGGCTTGGCTTAGATACCATGCAACTTCTATGAGCTGCTTGATAAATAGAAGATAAAATAATGAAAATAAAGACAGTGAGTCAGGGGCATAGTAGAAATGATCCATGGCCTCACTCATAGTGTGCAAGCACTCTATCGTTGTGTTCTATCTCCAAAGCTAGAATGCTTTCCTAAGGAAACAAGCCCTCAATTATATATGTTGTGTAAACAAGAGATGCCCTTGGACTGATCTGCAGGCTGGGGAAGAAGAGATGGCTTCATAAAACTGCCTACACTATCATCTTCTTCAGGATTATAAAGCAACTCATAAAGTTCTAGAGTGCTGTGCTCCAGAGAGCACAGGCTGTGTTACAGCCCACATGAAGCTGTTTCACGTCTTGCCTGCATTCGGAAATAGGGAATGGCTCACCTGCATGGCGTACTCAATGCCATTGTTAGAACTGTAGCACTGGACGTATGCTACATATGACTACGCACAGGACACACCTCCACAGAAAAGTGTCCAAGCATGGTGACTGGATATAGAATTATAGGTTTTTCTAACACCCAGAATGCAAAACAAACAGGCGACTTAATGTCAGAGTGTGACAGTACATACATGCCACCATTAACGAGACAGTTCACCTGAAAAAGCCAAGAGGACCTGGACTTGAATCTCACTCAGCTCTTGGGGATTACCTAGGAATGCAGCTTTAACCAAGACAGTTAACCTCTGGGCCTATGAAATTTGAGGTTCCAGAACCTTCCTTGCAGGGGGTTACTGTGAGGATCAAATAGGTCATTTAAACAGAATGCATTATGCATAGGAAATTTTGCTTTAGTGTTAGGTTTTCTTGTAGTTGTTGTAATTGCTATTATTACCGTCACCCACTTTTAGGTGTTTATTGTAAAGCACAGTAATATGATAATAATTATAATTAAAGTAATAATTATGATTATACTATTTTATAATTATTCTATTTTATAATAACGTACTATTATATACTAATTATAATAAGTAAAATAAAATTAAAATATCTCATCATTTTTAGAAGTTTTCTGGCTTTACTCAGGTACTAATGAACAACAAAAATGATAAGTATTTTAAGTATACAACCTGATATTCTGATACACGTATCCACTATGACGTGATTAACACAACCCAATCAAGCTAATTCATATCTCCATCACTTCACGTAGACACCCATTGCATCTGTGCAGTAACATTAAGATGAACGCCCTTACGAAGTTTACAGATATAACACGGTGTTACCACACCCTCACTACGCTATCCATTTCCTCTCCAGCGTCATTCATTTTTCACAAGTGAATTCTGTACTCTAGCCAATGCATCCCATTCCTCTATCACTCCATCCCTCTCTCGCCCCCAGCGACCTCTTTCCTTACCTCCTTTGTGTAGCATTTTTTTCTTTAGAGTTCACATATGAAAAGAACTGGGAAACTGGCTATCGATCACTCATTCATCTTTTTGGCATCCTTACTAAACACCTGAGAGAGACCAGGCCCCTCCATTCAAAGAACTGAGAGTAATTCACTGAAGGGCTCTGTACTTGAGGAGCAATGTCATGAGAGGACAACCTTTGCTACTACATAGAATAAAGGAACACATGAGGACTGACACAGGCGGAGCCCAGACCTAAACTCGGGATGAGGACATGGCTTTGGTCTGTACAGCCACTCACTTGTAGAATTGTCATAGAAGGCGTCCATGTCTTCCTCGGTGCTATTCCCTCCAAAGAGGGCTTTGTAGTTGTTATCCTCATACCAGTTGAGAGACTTGATCTTCAGGCCCCCACCCTCTGGGTGACCACAGACGATGCGGGACACAGCCTGGTATATCTGGGTGGAGGAGCTAGAGCTGTTCACGTTGTTCAGAAACATCACCTCCTGCCGCATGTCACTCCAGCTCTTTGTGCTGAACAGCTGGTGTCAGGATGGGAAGAGAAAGGAGAGGGAACAGGGAAGGAAACAGAGGACCAAACAAGGGTTGGGACAAGAGAGAAACAAATACTTTATTTTCTTAACCTAAGAGCGATGTTGCAGAACATACTGTGTCTATCATCACCTTAAAACCCTGTGGTGATTAGCTGGGGCCTTCGTTCCTCACCTGTGGTGCTGGGACCTGCAGTATCTTATTATGGTGTGATCTCCAACTGGTGGCTCTTCCTAGCACCTGCCTGAGGAGAGAATTCCTGCTCCTTCTCCTTCACCATAGCCCACACGATATACTTTCTCTGTGATACGGCTCACAGGGGAGGGTAACCACTCATCTTCCAGGCCAAGAAAAGCGGTTGTACTTGAGGTTATCGCAGTGAACAAATGGACCAGGGCCGTGCAGTCTCCATCTATTTCAATGCCTCCCACCCTCCCTTATTCTCCCTTCAGCCTCTTCCTCGGTCCAACAGCAAGAGTGTAGACATCTGCAAACATGAAGTCACACTAAATAACTTCTTTCTAACTCCTCTGGATCTTAGGCGTATGTTCTCAAGCATGCTCGTTCCTGTGATTTATATGTGCTGTCCTTCCAGTGCACAGTATCCTAATTTCTCAAGGAATACAGTAGCTCTGTCTTTGCAGCCAACTCACCCCACTCTCATTAAAATGGCATCTCATCTCTCTTCCTACCTCCCTTACATGGCTTACTTTTTCTTCACTGCACAGATCCCTGTGGTCACATCATCAGCTGACTTGTTTATTTCTGACTTTCATCCTTCTGTGAACTAAATGACGGCGGTGAGGTGACTGAGCTCACTGCAGAGCTGCAATAGCTAGCAAGGCCAAGCGCCTAGCCTGTGCTGTGTGTGACTGTGATGTCTCCTCCATTCTGCTGCTCAGTCTTGTCCTGTGTGCCTTCCCTCTCATCCACATATGACATGAATGTCAGCTCTCACTCATCCTCACAGCCCCACTGTCAGGTTGGCTAATGGGTACACTCTCTGAGGCTCTCTGGTCTGTTGCAGTTGTCACAAGAGTTTGTGAGGGATTCTTGGAAGGAGCAAACCAGAACATAAACTTCAGAGTTTAGAGGCCCCCAAGTTCAAGTTCCATTGTGATCAATTAACTCTCTAGTTAATTATCTAGACTTTTATCAAGCAAAGTATCTGACTTTTCTGAGCCCCAGTGCCATCTGTGAAATGGGCACAATGAGAACGTGTCAACAGCTGGGCTTTAAACATAGCAACTAACTTTGTTTCTAAACATGAACAAGCAAATGCATTTTTTTATTGTTATTTGGAGACAGCATCGAGTGATGTGTGACCAAAGTGGCTTGAGGGTGATCTGCTGGGAGAAGCAGATGCCCATCCCTGATGCTGGAGCAGGAATAAGCAGGTTCCAAGAGATAGTCAAGAAAAATGTACACAGTACAGAGCTGGAGGTTTTCCACCCACGCAGCCACAGGGCCTAGCAAGTGCTTTTTAATTATTTTAGCCCAGAATAAAAGCAGGTACAACAACAGAAGAGAAACTTCCTGGAACAAACCCTGAATTTACAGGTACGACTCCTACTACTCACCCACCTGGCCACTACTATGACCACTTTGCTTTCCTCAGGAATGAGCAGCAGAGAATGAGACAAGAAGTAGACCCTCCAGAGCAGTGTCAATTCACAAGGCCCTACAGACAGGGACTTCTAAGAAGCTTTCTCTTTCTGCCCTCTGGCAGAACCCCGAACTGGTCCAGTTTCTCGACCTATCCAAAGGTCACTCACTCTCCCTAACAGAGGACCCAGTAACAGGCTGAGAAAGTCTGCTCCTAAAGGGAGGGACATGAGAGCCAAGACCTTCTGTCAAAGATGGCTACGCAGAGTTACAATTAATAAATGAATGAAAAAAGAAAGGAAAGAGAAAAGGAAGGAAAGAAAAGAAAAAAGAAAAGGAAAAAAAGAAAAGACGCATGGATGCACAGTGAGGTGTTGTGCTTGGTCCTAGGGTTTTCTAAACTTTCCAAATGCACTACTTGTTCAACGATGAGTGATATTTTTGATATTTAGAAGGGAAAAAAGACAATACACGCATGGAAAATGAGTTAAAGGATCAGTTAAAAATAAGGTTCGGCCAAGTCTGAGAAACTTTCTCCCATGAATTACTGTATTCCAGTGTCCTGAACACTGTAGCCTGCCTTGTGTTTCATCTGTGACCAATGGAACAGACAGTGGTGGGATTCACAGGCAAGGTGAGCTGTGATGTCAGGACAATGCCCACTCTGTCATGTGTGACACCATGAGGACTAAAGCCCAGACCAGCTTAGCGTTCACTAGGACCCACATTCCCAATGCTGAGCCTCAGAGGCCAGATTTCCCAAGGCAAAAGCAGGATGAGGAAAGCCGCAGCACTCCAGTCAGCTAGCAGAGGTGTATTCTGATGCAGTGGCTGAATGGACGGCCTTGTTGTTGAAGAAGCAACATGAAGAAGTTGCTGTCAAACAGTCAGTGCACAGGGACGGAGGTGGAGTGAGGGAGAGAATTCTTTCACAGCTCACAGAGAAAGGTCAAGACTAGACATGGGGTTCTAAGTCACTAACTATCTCTGCAACATTGATGGATTTTAGTTTCTTCTTCTCCAATGGAGATCCAACCTGATAAATTTTTAAATTACTTGTGCTTCTAAAATTTAGTTTGACGCAGTAGGTAATAGTCAAAGTACAAGAAGCTTGTTGGCAGAACCCAGAACTAAAGAAAATAATAGTGGTGAGTCTGTCCACTGTGGCTTAAAAAGTACAACTTACCTCTTGGGCCAGCCCCCCTAAGCTGTCAAGCAACGTTTGAGTGGCTTCAGTCAGATGCTGGGTCAGGAGAGGAGATGTGGAGTTCAGTCTTGTCTAGAAAGAGGGGGAAAAAAATCCTTTGTCTCTGAGCTCAAATACAGGCTAGAAATCTGTACATAGAAAATACACAAATAAATCAAAACCATTCTCAATAAATATTGAATATAAGAACCAAGAAACCACTTCTAGCCAAAATAAAGAATACTGGATAATTACTCAACTGTATGCCTGTTTATTTATTTTCTTCAGATAAAGATTTCTCTTTCATGAATGGTTGTAGGAGTACAAATTTTAGGCTAGTAAATAGAGACCATATACAAATATGTAGTACACACAGGTGGGCACAGATGTGTGTGTGTGTCTGCATCCATGCACATGTATGTGCAAGTGTGTTCAATAAAATTCTGACCAGAAAGTCCCAACTCTATCTACAGTTCTACAAGACACATATTTATAGGCATGACCTGAAAAAAGAGTCTATGATGGTTTACATTAAATAAATAAAAGAAGTAAGTAGGAAAAGATAAAATTCAACAATAACCAAAGCAAGAGAACAGTTCTCCTTTTGCTCTGTTGAGTCTGCAGATTTTCACTATTTTTAAACACTGGAGATGTAACACAGAACACTGTTCTTGTGTCCACTGTTAGTCAATGCCTTGCATTTACTAATTAACATATTTAGTTCTTATGATACATAACCTAGCTACACAGCAATCAAGAGAAAATAATTAATTAGACTCAAAGGAAAGATAAATTACAACAGAAAGCCTAAGGAGGCGGAGAACAAAACTCCCACAGGCTCTCAAACCAGAATTGCTGTAGAAGGAAGTTCGACTTCAGTTCCATGATCAGGAACAAGATAAGGAAGAAAATCTCCAGGGGGAAGGGAAGCCTTTCTTAGTGTTTTCACAGGTTCTGTTTTGTTTCATTCCATAGTGTATCGAATACCTTGAGAATTTTAGACTGTTTTGATGGCATTTATCATGTCAAAGATTGCTGTGAGATTGTAATAGAGAGTGCTAAAAGTGGCAGGACTAACACTAGGGAACAGCCTCCGAGGTGTTCTATTTGTATTTTTTGATGTGTTCTTTAAAAACAAGTTCCAAATGCAGAATACTGAGTTATGAACAACATAATCTCAGTGGCTGGCACAGCCCTATATGAACATCTGCCTTTGAAAGAACTGGATCTGGGAAAGCCTATGAGTAAGAGTTAAGTCCCAGGGCTCCCACACTCACAGTCCTCCAAAAGACCTATAAATGCCATAAAAATGCTATCCTCAGGGACGCCTGTGATATAACTCACAGATCACCACAAAGGCTGTTCCTTCCAGTGGGAACTCAGGAGCAGAAACAGCAGGCTGTTCTCCTCTCACTCTCTCTCCCAGTTCACTTCATAACTGAAGATGGATCAGCACAGCAGAAGCTGAACCTGTGATTTCCCTCAGCCAGGGAAATGCTTACAAACAGAGAGGTCCCAATCAGAAGTGCAGGAGGTAAACTGATTTTGTGTTTAGCATGGCCCACCACTAATATTTTTGAATAAATTTATGATACAAGATTATAAAGCAAAAATAAATGAGGAAACAAAATTTCCAGAGTCACCTTATATGCATTTCTAAAATCTGAAATGTAGGTTGCATACCTTTCTTTTTTGAAGCCAAGGCAAGATTCCCTGTGCCTCCATAACCTCGGCTCTTCTGCTGCAGAGCAGCGGAGCTCCCTGCATCAGAGTTTCATGAACACTGAACTGCAAGATATCTACGAAGTTCTTTGAGCAGAGCCTGTCACTCGGTAAACTTCAGAAGCAAAAAACCACTTTCATCTCCCTCTATTCCCCTTCCTTAAAAGTAGCCTCCCGGTGCTCAGAAAGACAACCGTCCTGCCTCTGTGCCTTGCCCTGTGCCAATCAGGTCTACAAGACACCGAATGCCTGAGACAGTCTACCCTTAACAGTAGAGTGAACAGTTGGTCCTATGTAGCTTCCCCATCTGAATAAATCTGCATCTTTGTAAGTAGTGACTGTCACTCGATCTGGTATTTAATTTGGACACTTTAGAGTAAGCTTACTCTCCTTGTTTTTCCACAATTCAAAAGCCACTGGTATGAACCTTGCACCTGCCTGCTTAACCTTTGAGTGTAACTAGTCTTACATGCAAACACAAAGACCTGGTGACCTCGTCCATGAATATTGGAGCTCTGATAAGCAGTGTCTTATGAGATGACTTGACTGTCAATGGTCAAAAGTCTAAGTCTGTTGGCTTAATTGAGACATTGGGGTCTTAGCCCTATATTGGCTAAACCATTCATATGTAATATAGTATAGCAATCAGTGTCATGGTGAAGATCTTTTTCATGTCAGGGCTGGTGAGATGAGGAAGGTGCCTCCTGCCACATGTATGTGACTTGAATCTGACCACCAGGACCTCCATGGTGGAAGGAGAGAACTGATGCCCACAAAGTGACCTCTGACCTCCACATATGTGCCACAGCATGGGAGTGCCACACAGAAACAAGTAAGAAGTCATTTAAAAATAACTTGTAAGTAGATGTTCCGTATACTTCAACAATATCAGCGACCTGCAGTTGATACAAACTGATGTCCCAGGCACAGACTGACAACAGAGTTAAGACACATGCACGCAATTCAAATCCAGCATCAGTCTCCAGCTTGGATTAGGGAGATATTTTCTGTTCCAGGTCTCATTGCATTTTTGGGGGGGGAGGGAGGGAGGGAGGAAGCTTGGATCTTACAGGATACAGAGATGGTAGTGGTGGCATCAGCAGAATGAAATGTTTCAAACTGACAGTCAAAAGATAAGCCATTCAAAACTACTCCTGCGTCAGTGAGATAGTCATGTTTTCCATCTAACCTCATTATTTACGAATACATTTTTGATAGATTAAAGAGCTGAAAGAAATATCAAAGTTTAAAACAGATTGGAGAGGATATTAGAAAATACACTCATGAACTTGAGCTCAGGAAGACTTTTAAACAAAATGTAAACAGATTGAACCATAAATAAGAAAGTGGATGTATATTTTAAATGTATAAACTGTGTATCGAATGAAACCACAAATGACCTAAAACATTCAGTCAAAGACTAGAATAACGGAATTTTGTACATCTTTAGTATAAAATGGGATACCAGCTAGCACTTAGTAAATACCATATACACATGCATTGATGTTGATTAATCTCCAAAAACCATGGAGCTTCCTGAGAAAGAACAGGGGCCACTCAGCACACAGGAACACACAATGTGAATTCATGCAAGCCCATACCAAACACTGCTGTTGGTGGTATTTACATATGACAGTGTAATGTTTAAAAACATGCAACTCCAGAATAGGAGTTGTCTTTGGGGAATAGACAGGATTACACAGGCGGCAGCTGTAGTATCTACGATGACGACACCAGCCCACTGGTGTTGTTTCTGTCATTCTGCCTTTTTTAAAAAAATATACATTTGAAATGTTTTCCAATTTTCTCTTTAACACAATACAACTATGATAAAGGTGGAAGGGGGGCTGAGTGGTCGTGAAGAAGGAGAGAATGCATATCAGGTCTTAAAGGCAGCTCACACCTTTGGATATTGCTGGGATCTTACAGGATACAGAGATGTTGCTGGTAGCATCATAACTCAGGAATAACTTAGGCCGTGAAACTTGAACACAGAGTGCCAACCACATCTGCCGTGACTCACTGTGACCTCCTTGGTGAAGGCAGAGCTTGCCACAACACTGCTCCACAAAGCTCTCCTGATACACTTAAGGTGCTCAATAAGGCATCGCTCAGAATTCCTGTTTTTCTCCTGACTGAAAACATTCTCTTGACCATGAATTCAAATTAAGTCCCTATGGTCCACAGGAAGAAAAGCATTTTCCTGCATGGAGTAAAGAAAGAAGTATACAGGGAAAAAAATGACTTGGTTGAGGACTGTACTTTCTGTATTTAGCTCAACAGGAATCCGTGTATTGTCCGATATATTTAGATCATAACTAAGTACTGTAATATCATAGAATACACATTCTTACCTTATTACTCAAAGACTTCCACTCATTTTCTGTAACATGTGTATATTATATCAGAACAGTATTTCCTAAAAGTCCCCCCAAACAACAAAGGTTATTCCATCGCCATCCTCTGAGAGTCTAGCAGATGACTTCATTACTTCTCTTCTCACTGGCTTAATAGATATTCTGTGAAGGACTGGAACATTTTAAAGATCGACAAGCTAACAGCACCCACTTGGCTTTTATTTCTGAGCTGGTATTTCACTCAATGTAGGGTCTTATATATTTGTTAGCATATCTCAGTAGATGTTTCCTGAAAAAAAAGCTTAAAGGGAGGGAGATACATCTCAGAGGGAAGAAATGAGCCAGTGTAATCCTGTCTCAAAAGCTATGCAAATCCCTGGACATGCTCTGTCTTACATGTCCCTCCTCAAGTCAAGAACCACTGGAACGTGCCATGGCTGCCCTTGGTACAGTGATGTTCAGTGGTCTGATGTGAATCTCTCAAGTCTGCCTCTGATAGACTCTGTTCACCTCCCCGGTATCACATTTCAACTCAGCTCCCCCTCGGCATCACATCTCAACTCAGCTCCTCCTGACAATGTCCCCCATCAGTATACCCAACCCATCCTGTTCCCCTAAACATCACTTTCTCTTCCCATTCCCCTCAAGACCTTGCGCATACCAGGTTTTCTTTTAGTAACAGTCTCTATTTTTATGTGGCTAACATCCATTGTTCAGGCCTCTAAATAGAATTTTGTGTGCCTCTTTGTAAATGCATAATACAAAATGATTCCTGATATTGAACTGTATTTGTAGAAGTACATGCCTGACTTCTCTTTAAAGTTGTGCATTATGGCAGTGGTTTATAGTCCCAACATTTGGGTCTGAAGCATGAGGATCAGAAGATCAAGGCTGATCTGGACCCTCGATAAAGATCCTACCATAACAGCAACAAAAACCACCTTCCCCTAAATGACTTCCCAAAGAAGATGTAACTCTAACTCCCCACTTATTTTGCCTTAGATTAAGTATTAA